ATACCCACAACAGTCACAATACCCACAACAGTCACAATACCCACAACAGTCACAATACCCACAACAGTCACAATACCCACAACAGTCACAATACCCACAACAGTCACAATACCTACAACAGTCACAATACCCACAACAGTCACAATACCCACAACAGTCACAATACCCACAACAGTCACAATACCCACAACAGTCACAATACCCACAACAGTCACAATACCCACAACAGTCACAATACCCACAACAGTCACAATACCTACAACAGTCACAATGCCCACAACCTTCACAATACCCACAACAGTCACAATACCCACAACAGTCACAATACCCACAACAGTCACAATACCCACAACAGTCACAATACCCACAACCTTCACAATACCCACAACAGTCACAATACCCACAACAGTCACAATACCCACAACAGTCACAATACCCACAACAGTCACAATACCCACAACAGTCACAATACCCACAACCTTCACAATACCCACAACAGTCACAATACCCACAAGTCACAATACCCACAACAGTCACAATACCCACAACAGTCACAATACCCACAACAGTTACAATACCCACAACAGTCACAATACCCACAACCTTCACAATACCCACAACAGTCACAATACCCACAAGTCACAATACCCACAAGTCACAATACCCACAAGTCACAATACACACAACAGTCACAATATTCAAAAATATTCATGGGATTGCAGAGAACTAGTTCCTAGAAAAAAAAGCGCTATCGAAAACTGCGCAAACAGAAACATGCGCAAATACAAACTATTTATACCAGTACAAATTTATCTTCTCGTATTTCAAGGACATTTTTTTTTATTATTATGTTACATTTTAAATGTCCTCAGGTATCGATTTAAAAACAAATTCTCAAGCGCACTTTTTTTTTGTGCGTAGTTTTCAAATGCGCATTTTCCGGTCACCCAGGCAACCAGAATGTGGAAGACAACTGTCGAAACAAAATACATTCCAACAGGACAGAAAAAGCCAACCACATTAAAAGTAAATCAAAATTTTATTGTAAGCCATTTTTCGTAAGCCATTCCTGTACAAACCCACCATAAAGCCATAAAGGAAGTGAAAACCAAACTCGATGCTAAACTTTTGAACTCATTCAAATTAAAACCAAGCTCGACAATAGTATAGAAAATATTTACAAAAACCCAAGTACATGAGATTGTACGATAAAATTTTGGTTCACTTTTTACATCCAAAGGCCAGTAACTTAGACCTATGGTATATCATATCAATTTTATTATTTTCATATCTCCATTATTTTGTAAAAATAAAAACTAGATCCAACTATAATATAACCATAGTTTTACCCTTTTGAAACTGTAGAATAAACACAACTGTAATTAAAAGTAATAAAAAGAAAATATGAATTGCTGTCAATTATACTTTTTCAACAATGGGTATAATTCAAGTATCATCAAAAACATAAAGATAAATAATTATATTCTAAATAAAAAATATAACGTATTCTAAAAACATCAAAATAATTTCTTCAAAGCATCACATTTTAAATGTGAGTGGAATTTTAATTAAGTGGTGGTTTTAGTTAATCTTAAAAATCTTTAACAGTTTATATTTATAAATAACAATCTGTCATTTCATTGGCTGTCTGTAAACTACTAGTATATTCAAATTTAGAATTAATTTTTAACGAATTAAACTTTCCTAATGAATTTTTTAAATTTTACTATAATGATGAAATATCAACTATTTATTTTATTATCTATCACTTTTTACCTATCAGTGGCAGATAACTGACTCTTTTGAAAATAGGGAGGTTAAGTTGATAGTAGTATTGTAAAATCACTTTCCAGTGTTAAGGTCAGTTGTCAGTATAATTAAGTCGATTACTAGCAAGCCAACACCCCAGTTTGTTGAGGATTCCATCACGACTAATGGCATTATCAAACACTGCTATTGAGAAATATGACAAAAACTTTGCATGAAAATGTATTGCTTAAATCGAACATTTTATTATGCTGGATTTTGTATGCTTAACCTGAGAAAATTATATGCTTTAAAAAAAAAAATTATTATTAGTTTATTTTTACACAGAATGACAACTAAAACATATAATAAAATATATAACATTAAAACATTTCCTATACACAAAAAAAGAAACTATCACAAACAAAATCAAATTAAAACATTTCCTATACACAAAAAAACAAACTATCACAAACAAAATCAAATTAAAACATTTCCTATACACAAAAGGAAACAATCGCAAAAAAAAAAAATCAATTGAAAAAAATTCATCTACCACCATGGTTTAAACAAAAAAAAATAATATTAACGAGATGAGATCAAATGAGTGTCATGATACAAGAATGTCACGATGAATGGAAATTAATCTGCCCATTGCAATTAATCATGTGATGAATGGAAATTAATCTGCCCATATCAATAAGTCATGTGATGAATGGAAATTAATCTGCCCATATCAATAAATCATGTAACGAATAGAAATATACCCATATCAATAAATCTTTTAATCCAGTTTTTTAATCTTCTCAACCTGACAAAAGCTGAATCACAGTTGCATAGCTCTGCTAATGATGTGACCCAACAGGCCACAGTAGTGGACCAGGAAGTGATCTGGCTGCAGCCCCTGCTGTATCTGTCCATGACAACTGGCTACTAACATGGTGTAACTTATTGGTATAGTGGATAAACAGTTGTAAACAATGACAACTTGCTACTAACATGGGGTTACTGCTTGGTATAGTGGATAAACAGTTGTAAACAATGACAACTTGCTACTAACATAGGGTTACTGCTTGGTATAGTGGATAAACAGTTGTAAACAATGACAACTTGCTACTAACATGGGGTTACTGCTTGGTATAGTGGATAAACAGTTGTAAACAATGTCAACTTGCTACCAACATGGGGTTACTGCTTGGTATAGTGGATAAATAGATGCAAACAACTTGCTCACTTAAAGCACACTAGAGTTATTGTACTTGGTAATGCATAATGGGTCTGTAACTGCTAACTACTAATGCCAACAAGACTACTTGATGCAAGTACTAGAGCTAGTCTGGGGCTCATTATGAGATATCTCAAACTATCAAAGTAACTTAATTAGTAAGTTAATTAGGCTAGATAAATAAAAAGACTATCAATATAACTGTAGTATGGTTCAGTTAATGTGCTCATTTGTATGAATGTATGTATTCATGTGCATGTATAAAACTAGCTTGAGCAAGAAGTAAATGCAGTTAAGCACAGTATATAGGATATGTAAATACAATGTCTAGATAACCAACTTTAAAAAATATCACTATGACTGTAGTATGGTTAAGTTAATGAATGTATATGTATGTGTTCATGTGCATGTATAAAACTAGCTTGCATCAAGAAATTAATGCAGTAAACCACAGTATATAAGATACATACCTACAATATCTAGGTAACTCTATTATAAACATCTATTTTAGTACACTATTCAAAGTAAATTCAACTACCTAAATGACACCAATTAATGGAGTTACTTTAGACCCATCCAATTGTGTATTGTTGTGGTCAGGTCGAACCCCCGTCCCCTCACCCCTCCCAACCAAAAGTATGGAGAGCCTTAAGGAAAAATTTCTCTTATAATGCTGAGTGTGTTGACTGTAACCATACAAATAGCAAAGGTCATGACATGACAACATTATTTCATTTAGCAATTCAAGTGACCAGTAGATTAATATCCTTGCACAAAGGCAAATCATCATAAATGTAATGTGTGGGCCATGATGTAATACACAATATCATTCAATGAGACATTATTGCTCAGTGCTGAATCCAAATCAAGAGTTAGCTCCCTTCTACCCTATCACAATAAGCTAAACCAGTTGTGATGTAAGTTTTTAGCAAAATAAAATGCACTTAAAATCACTTGTAATAAAATAGATTGTAATTCAAATAAAGAAGTTATTTTTAAAAATTATATTTACAAAAAAAAAAAAAATTTGCAGTAAAAGACAAGGAATAGTCATATCTTAGTCTACACAATAAGTGCAAATGAATGAAATATTCGTGTTGTTTGTAAATTGTTACATCTGCTGTCTGAGAGAAATTTACTACAGCCTAGTATTTATATTTAACATATGAGTATATGAATTAAAAATTTAATTTAATCTAATAAACTTTCTTTCAGAATATGGCTATCTTTAATTTAAAAGGAGAGGAAAAGTTTTTAATGAAAGGCAAAACAAGCAGAGAACATTTCCTCCCAGTAAACGTAATATGCAACCAAGAAATAAAATTATAATTTATTGAATGGAATTCTTAAACGAGGACACTTAATTCAAAACACATTTTCAAACATTTAACAAAATGATTTTAAAAAAGGCATGTTACAAAGCAGCTATGCTGCAATTATATTTTTATTATATCTTGTGTTAACGGTATTCAAGTGGGTTACTACATTATTTTTATGCTCAATGGTCCATAAAAAATTGGTAAGAGATGAGAACAATTCAATTCTAGATGGAAACAACTCATCACATGTGTTGAGATGCCAAAAATATCAATTATACATTGGGTTACATTTTATTTACAATGAGCTAAAAATATTTTCAAACAAATGTATGGGGACTAAACAACATGCAGTGTCATGTGATGAGTGCATGAACAAGGAATAACCTTGACATTCAAAACTCCATGCAGCCTGCGAATTAATTTGTGTTAATGTTTAGCAATGGTATATTTTTAGCTACCTTTTGAACAAGAATAGAATATAATTTTTTTTTTCAGAAGTCTGTGCAAGTGAGCATATGAAAATGAGATCAACTTTGGTCAAATTCTTGATTGTTTCCCTTATAAGTTTGCCCTTTTCAATGTGTGTTACCTCCCTTGCCCAAACTCTTGAGATCCTACAAATGAGATTAAGAGGAGAAAATGGCACTGAGAACTTTGAGCAACACTGTGACGCCACCTCCAGCTGCGCTACTGGGGTTTTTTTTTCCTCAAAGAAAACTGAAATCTGGACCAATCACAATTAAGTAGGTCAATGGATGGTTGACGCCATGAAAGTCAGTGGTTGGCTGGTTGTAGGTCAGTGGTTGACTGAAAGATAAATGGTACAAAGCTAGCTGTATCACAGTTGGGGATCACAGTGGCATCAGGCTCAGACGATTCTGGAGGGTAAATCAAACAGTCACATTAGAGGGAAGAATCAAACAGTCACATTAGAGGGAAGAATCAAACAGTCACATTAGAGGGATGAATCAAACAGTCACAATAGACCTGTCATCTACATATAAATAATGATGTTTTAACTTGTGACATAATAATTTAATGTATGGAACTTGTTATTTTAATTTGTGGAACTTGCTATTTTAGTGTGTCTAACTTGTTATTTTAGTGTGTCAAACTTGTTATTTTAGTGTGTCAAACTTGTCATTTTAATGTTGGAATATGTTATTTTAATGTTGGAACTCTAAACAAAACCTACAATTTTAACAAGCAAAAAATTCTACCTCATTTCAGCAACATACAACATAATACAAAATGAATTTAAAAAGATAATTTTAAAAAAGATAATATAATATTAATAATATTTAAAAATATAATTTGAAATCACTAATAAAGTCTAAAAGGGTCACTAAACAGATTCACAACTAGTTAATCTTTGGATACACAGGTTTATTACAAACTATTAACCATTGATAAATAAAAACATTGTAAAAACCACTGAACTGTACAGCTATGATTAATGATTCCACAAATTAAGCCAGTACTTGATCTAGGTCTCTCCTGAACCTTAATGTCAGAGGCTTTTAAAAAAATAATTTCTATGGCTTTTGAGTACTCATTGCACCAATTGATTCAAATGAATACTGATGTTATTTGAGATCTCATTACCGCAGTAGATTCAAATGACATGACATGGCCATGACATATAGTAATGCCATCCGAGTACTCACCCCATCAGTAGTTTCAAATGACAACATGACATCGTCATCACTGAGATCAAAGCTTTCATCTGATTGGTCCACATTGGTCAGCAGGTCTTCATCCCCCGGGCTGAAAGGGTCCGAGGCTCTGGTCCTCTGGTGGCTCTCAGTGCTGCGCTCAGCCTCGCGGTGTCCCTGGTCATTCTGCTGCTTCACAAAGTTGATAAAAACCTGAAACAAAAATTACATCGAAACTATTTACATCAAACAGATATTACATTATAACCAATTATTGTAATCTGCATCTTAAGAACAACTGTTGATACATCTATAGGAAAATAATGGTTTTTTTGGGGAAATATTTCTGTTAAAAAGAAGTTGTGTATTGGTGAATTTTTATACAGTAATTCAAGAAGTAGCAGACTGTTGAGATTATTAAAAAATGTATTGGGATTTTTTTTTATTTTAATGCATTTCTAAATATACAAAAATATTTAAACAATTTATTTTATACAATAGCAAAAGATGAATTGATACCATAAGTATCAAAAAGCTGAAAGATTCTGTGACAAGACACTACTCACATTGTCCAAGGTGTTTTGACTGACAGAAAAATCTTCGACCTCGAGATTTGACGCCGCCTCCTCCAGCTTGGAGAACAACATGGCCAGATCAACGGGGCGTGTCTTGAGTTCATATTGCACAATATTGTAATGTTCTTCCTGAAAATATTGCACAATATTGTAATGTTCTTCCTGAAAATAGTGCACAATATTGTAATGTTCTTCCTGAAAATATTGCACAATATTGTAATGTTCTTCCTGAAAATATTGCAAAAAATTGTAATGTTCTTTCTTAAAATATTGCACAATATTGTAATGTTCTTCCTGAAAAGATTGCACAATATTGTAATGTTCTTCCTGAAAATATTGCACAATATTGTAATGTTCTTCCTGAAAATATTGCACAATATTGTAATGTTCTTCCTGAAAATATTGCACAATATTGTAATGTTCTTCCTGAAAATATTGAAAAAAATTCATATTGCACAATATTGTAATGTTCTTCCTGAAAATATTGCACAATATTGTAAAATGTTCTTTCTAAAATTATAGCACAAAATTGTAATGTTCTTTCTGAAAATATTGCACAATATTGTAGAATGTTCTTTCTAAAAATATAGCACAAAATTGTAATGTTCTTCCTGAAAATTTGCACAAAATTGTAACCTTTTTTTTTTAAATATTGCATTATAGATGACGTACTATGCATGGACATAGAACTGAACTAGAATTTTGACTCTTGCTATAAATGATAAACTCACCTTAAGTTCAGCCATTGGTATATTTCTCTGCACAAAGCGCACGATATCCCGGCGCGCCCTATCAGGGTTGGGGCCTTTAATTCTGATGGTGAAGGTGTAGCCGTCACCAAACCTGTTCTTCAGGTGGGTGGAGCTGCCCAGACATTTCAGCTGGCCGTTGACCATGATGGCCATACGCGAGCAGAGAGCTTCACACTCCTCCATGCTGGGCATAAGAAATTGTTCACACTGATAAACCTAATCTCTAAGGAATGTTCACACTGATAAACCTTATCTCTATCTGTATGACATTATAACCATAGCTGCATCTCTTTCAAGTTTGAACATAATTTTTAAACTGCTGAAAGCTATACCCCTCTTAAGACAAATTTAAAGTAAAAAAAAAAGTAGATTTCCCTTTTCAAACCTGACGGTCTATAGGGCAAGTGAAGTTCACCTGTTTCTGTGACCTCGGCATATGAAGAGATAGTGTGGTCAGCACTATGCCCAGCTGCCTTTACTTTCCCTAAGGTCACACTAACGTGAGTTAGGTACCCATCAGAGTTGGGTGGACTCAGGGACGTCTTCTGACTTGAACCCAGATTCAAACTCTAGACTTACGGGTTAGCAGTCCAGCTCTCTACCGCTAGACCACTCCGCCCCTTAAGACATAAATTTAGCCACAGTTATTCCCCTACCTGTGGGATGTAAGGATGACAGAGCGGCCATCTTGTACCAGCCGTAGAATGAGATCCCACAGGAATCTTCTAGAATGTGGGTCCATGCCAGTGGTTGGTTCATCCTAAAACAAACAATTTTTGTTACACATTTTATGCCAGTGGTTGGTTCATCCTAAAACAAATGTTTCTTGTTACACATTTTATTATTAAAATAGCAGCTTGTAATGATAAAAAGACAACAACCTTAGAGCCACTGAACTAAAAACTGTTTGAAAACAATGGCTCACCATAAAAATGATGGTTGTGATGATAAAAAGACAACAACCACTGAACTAAAAATTGTTTGAAAACAACGGCTCACCATAAAAATGATGGGAGGGTGACCAATCAAAGCTATTGCTGTTGAAAGTTTCCTTTTATTTCCTCCGCTGTATGTGCCTGATAGCCTGTCAGCTAACTTGGTTAGCCCCAGTTTATTTATAGCCCACTCCACAACCTGATCATGTGGAGGAGCAAAAAATTATATTTAAATCCCAACAGTTAAAAAATAATTGTCTCCTAATTCAACAATGTCTGTACACATAGCCAGCACTAAAGGGGAGCAACCAGACCTGTTTCTCATCACTTGGGGGAATCCCCCTGACCCGGCAGTACAGCTGCAGGTGTTCCCTGGCTGTCAGCTCGTCATAGAGGGAATCAAACTGGGGGCAGTAGCCGATGTTCTGCTGCACCTTCTTCAATTCCTTCACCACACTGGGGCAGAGGGAAAACAAAACTTGAACACATCAGGGAGACAAGTGAAACACATCATGGAGAAAAGTTAAACATCATGGAGAAAAGTGAACATATCACAGAGAAAAGTGAAACACGTCATGGAGAAAAGTAAAACATCACAGAGAAAAGTGAAACACCACAGAGAAAAGTGAAACACCACAGAGAAAAGTGAAACACCACAGAGAAACGTGAAACACCACAGAGAAAAGTGAAACATCACAGAGAAAAGTGAAACATCACAGAGAAAAGTTAAACATCACAGAGAAAAGTTAAACATCACAGAGAAAAGTTAAACATCACAGAGAAAAGTGAAACATCACAGAGAAAAGTGAAACATCACAGAGAAAAGTGAAACATCACAGAGAAAAGTGAAACATCACAGAGAAAAGTGAAACATCACAGAGAAAAGTGAAACATCACAGAGAAAAGTGAAACATCACAGAGAAAAGTGAAACACCACAGAGAAAAGTGAAACACCACAGAGAAAAGTTAAACATCACAGAGAAAAGTGAAACATCACAGAGAAAAGTGAAACACATCACAGAGGAAAGTGAAACACATCATGGAGAAAAAAAAACACACCACGGAGAAAGTGAAACACACCATGGAGAAAAGTGAAACCCACCATGGAGAAAAGCAAAACACACCAGAGAGAAAAGTGAAATTTAAGTGAACATTAGACAGTAGGAGACAATCAACTGGAAACACAAAAGCTGTTTAGTTGAATCTGACACTTTCTTTTCAGTCACTTTCTGTGCATTTTTTGATGATATAAAAAATGTTGTTTGTACTTCAGATAAGTAAAAAAATTATCAGTATTTATCCTCCAAAAAATAAATTTAAGTTGCTACAAAAATGGACAGGCTTAAAGAAAGTTCATATATTTTAAAAAATGAAATGACAAATTCTTCTTAAGATTTCTTACTGAATTACTTTTCCAGCGTAATTAAATTCAGTCTATACACAATTATTCCAGCTTTACCAACAAAACTCACCTGTAAAATTCAGTTAAGCATAACCCACCTGTAACATTAAGCATCACTCACCTGTAACCATTGAGGTAAGCATAACTCACCTGTAACATTAAGTTTAACTCACCTGTAACATTGAGGTAAGCATAACTTACCTGTAACATTAAGTTTAACTCACCTGTAACATTGAGGTAAGCATAACTTACCTGTAACATTAAGTTTAACTCACCTGTAACATTGAGGTAAGCATAACTTACCTGTAACATTAAGTTTAACTCACCTGTAACATTGAGGTAAGCATAACTTACCTGTAACATTAAGTTTAACTCACCTGTAACATTGAGGTAAGCTTAACTTACCTATTAAGTTTAACTCACCTGTAACATTGAGGTAAGCATAACTTACCTGTAACATTAAGTTTAACTCACCTGTAACATTGAGGTAAGCATAACTTACCTGTAACATTAAGTTTAACTCACCTGTAACATTGAGGTAAGCATAACTTACCTGTAACATTAAGTTTAACTCACCTGTAACATTGAGGTAAGCATAACTTACCTGTAACATTAAGTTTAACTCACCTGTAACATTGAGGTAAGCATAACTTACCTGTAACATTAAGTTTAACTCACCTGTAACATTGAGGTAAGCATAACTTACCTGTAACATTAAGTTTAACTCACCTGTAACCATTGAGGTAAGCATAACTTACCTGTAACATTAAGTTAAGCATAACCCACCTGTAACATTAAGTTAAGCATCACTCACCTGTAACATTAAGCATCACTCACCTGTAACCATTGAGGTAAGCATAACCCACCTGTAACATTAAGTTAAGCATAACTCACCTGTAACATTAAGTTAATCATAACCCACCTGTAACATTAAGTTAAGCATCACTCACCTGTAACATTAAGCATCACTCACCTGTAACCATTGAGGTAAGCATAACCCACCTGTAACATTAAGTTAAGCATAACTCACCTGTAACATTGAGGTAAGCATAACCCACCTGTAACATTAAGTTAAGCATCACTCACCTGTAACATTAAGCATCACTCACCTGTAACCATTGAGGTAAGCATAACCCACCTGTAACATTAAGTTAAGCATAACTCACCTGTAACATTGAGGTAAGCATAACCCACCTGTAACATTAAGTTAAGCATCACTCACCTGTAACATTAAGCATCACTCACCTGTAACCATTAAGTTAAACATAACCCACCTGTAACATTAAGCATCACTCACCTGTAACATTAAGCATCACTCACCTGTAACATTAAGCATCACTCACCTGTAACCATTGAGGTAAGCATAACCCACCTGTAACATTAAGCATCACTCACCTGTAACATTAAGCATCACTCACCTGTAACCATTGAGGTAAGCATCACTCACCTGTAACCATTGAGGTAAGCATAACCCACCTGTAACATTAAGCATCACTCACCTGTAACATTAAGCATCACTCACCTGTAACCATTGAGGTAAGCATTCCCTGCGGTGGGCACCAGGTCTCCAGTCAACATCTTGAAGGTTGTTGTTTTACCCGCACCATTGACACCCAGCAGACCAAAACATTCCCCTGGGGGAACTCCTAAACAAATCCTGTCCACAGCCAGGTGGCGCCCTAGTCTTCGGGTTCTGTAAACCTGAAGACGAAACAAAATTGGCTTGAAAACAATTATCTTGATCTGGCCATTTTTTGCCATCATGTTCATCCTTACAAAATGCACACGCACTTAATGTGTGATAAATAGATCCATCTTAATCTCTTTTCAAGGTAATTGGTTAATTATGTAGTTTTCCAATTAGATTCCTATACATTAGTTTATAATATGATTGATTAAAATTAATTTTATTTTGAAATTATAAATTTGCTGGATAAATTATAACAAAGAATGACTTACTTTGGTCAAATTTTCCAGAACTAGCATGTCATATTTTCCATTGCCTTTTAAAACTCTTTTCCTTTCAATGGCTACATCATTGTCTTCCCCAGCCAGTGAACTTAAAGAGACTTTGTTCTGCCTGAAGAGTTTTATTTGTTTCATATAAAGATGTTCATATACAGATATAGTTGCAAATTTTACATATCCTGCCTCAAGATTAAATACAGTTTTAAGATTTCCCTTTTTAGGAAAAGTAACTTAAATTTGTAGTAATATAAATATGTCAGATATGGTATGAATGAATATTTAGAATTAAAATTGTTCATTTCAAAAGAAAGGGGTCGGCGTGGTCCAGTTGGTAAAGCTCATGGTTGCTAAACCGAAAAGTCTCGAGTTTGAACCCTCGGGCAGATGAGGCTCGTTAGCTGGGGACAGCCACTCTTCTAGGAGAGACAACTCCAAAATTAAACAACTGCTGCCTTGTAGTTTGTTCTTGGTTGGACAAAGGCTATGGAAGCAAATCCAAAAAGAAAAGCAGGCTGAAATCGGAGTCAATGGCCTCAATGGCGCATAACCAGTTGATACGTAACGCTTAATTGTGTTGGAGGCGTGGTCGAGTCGGCAAAAAGCTCATGGTTGATAAATTCCAACAAAGTCTCGAGTTCAAACCCACTGGCAGATAAATCTCGATCCCCTTCAACACTAATAATTAAGAACGAAGAAGAAAAGAAAAGAAAGTAAGTATGTTGTATAGACACAATGAGATAGAAATGTACAGCTATCTGTTTTTAAATATGGCAAAGTAACTCCATATAAATAAATAGCAAAAAATAAAGTAATTGGCTGCGTACATTCAGCTTGACAAGACTGACCTTGGCCTCAAGAAAAACCTGTATTCACACATGAGGGTGATGCAGAAGAAGAGTAAACCAATGGATGCCATGGCAACCAGGTTACATGGTATTAGATCCCACTCCATGGCTGACCTCATTTTATCTAGCTGACCTATGGGAGGATACAGACAGAAAGTTGACCTATGGGGGCATACAGACAGAAAGTTGACCTATGGGAGGATACAGAAAGTTGACCTATGGGAGGATACAGACAGAAAGTTGACCTAAGGGAGGATACAGACAAAAAGTTGACCTATGGGAGTATATAGACAGAAAGTTGACCTATGGGAGGATACAGACAGAAAGTTGACCTATGGGAGGATACAGACAGAAAGTTGACCTATGGGAGGATACAGACAGAAAGTTGACCTATGGGAGGATACAGATAGAAAGTTGACCAATGGGAGGATACAGAAAGTTGACGTATGGGAGGATACAGACAGAAAGTTGACCTATGGGGGCATACAGACAGAAAGTTGACCTATGGGAGGATACAGAAAGTTGACCTATGGGAGGATACAGACAGAAAGTTGACCTAAGGGAGGATACAGACAAAAAGTTGACCTATGGGAGTATATAGACAGAAAGTTGACCTATGGGAGGATACAGACAGAAAGTTGACCTATGGGAGGATACAGACAGAAAGTTGACCTATGGGAGGATACAGACAGAAAGTTGACCTATGGGAGGATACAGATAGAAAGTTGACCAATGGGAGGATACAGAAAGTTGACGTATGGGAGGATACAGACAGAAAGTTGACCAATGGGAGGATACAGACAGAAAGTTGACCAATGGGAGGATACAGACAGAAAGTTGACCTATGGGAGGATACAGACAGTAAGTTGACCAATGGGAGGATACAGACAGAAAGTTGACCTAAGGGAGGATACAGACAGAAAGTTGACCTATGGGAGTATATAGACAGAAAGTTGACCTATGGGAGGATACAGACAGAAAGTTGACCTATGGGAGGATATAGACAGAAAGTTGACCTATGGGAGGATACAGACAGAAAGTTGACCTTTAGTGCTACCCACTCTACACATTATCTAGCTGACCTATGGGAGGATACAGACAGAAAGTTGACCTATGGGAGGATACAGACAGAAAGTTTACCTATGGGAGGATACAGACAGAAAGTTGACCTATGGGAGTATATAGACAGAAAGTTGACCTATGGGAGGATACAGACAGAAAGTTGACCTTTAGTGCTACCCACTCTACACATTATCTAGCTGACCTATGGGAGGATACAGACAGAAAGTTGACCTATGGGAGGATACAGACAGAAAGTTGACCTATGGGAGTATATAGACAGAAAGTTGACCTATGGGAGGATACAGACAGAAAGTTGCTGTAACATATCTCTTGTTTAGTGCTTCACACATACACATGGCCTACTGATATCAATCTAACTGTATTCATTGATTTAATACAGAACAGACCTTTACTTAAATCTATGTAAATTATTTTAAATTTTCAGAATAAAAAAATACACATTAAAACTCTAATCTAGTTATTTTTAAATCAAGTTCTAAAATATAATACTTGTTCGGGAAGTTTTTGTAACAGCAAACCTAAGTAATAGCCTACACAGGCGATGTAATAGCCTTTGTAATAAACTGCAAATTTGGTTTAGAAAAATAATTCTAGGTAAAGCACTACAGTATAGCGATGTGAAACAAATATCAACATATTCAGCACTAAACTAATGGAAATGACAAGCAATCTTGATGAGTTCCCCAATTTAAATTGGTCTAGTTGAGTGTCCATTTTGGAAATTAGAGTACACACAAAGAATGTTTCGACCTACCTGTTTTAAAATAATATTCATTTTTGTATTCATTGAAAGCCAGATCCATGAGGCCACGCCCCAGACAATAGTTGGGGAACATCATGAAGGCGACTTTCAGAACTTTGTGGACTCTCTCTAGGTCCTGTAATCAGATCATGTGATCAGGTCATGTCTACGTACCAACCATAGGTTACAATAGTTTGAAATTAAGCACAAAACAATCTTTTTTTCTAAATTTAATGAATTATATTTATTTAAAAACAGACACAAAATTAACATTTTTTCCACTTATAAAAATATATTTTACTTTTAAAATCTGATTTGAAAACAGCATTTTCGAATCACAAGAATGAATAATTTACTTAAACCCATATGGTTAGCCTTAGTTATAAAATAAATAATACATTTTGGATAATCTATTTGTTTTTTCAAATTAATTTTTTGAAAATAATTCTTTAAAACAGTACTTTTCTTAATAAGATATTTAATCCTTTAAGTTTTCCTTTCATAACCTGCCATCCAATCCTAGCCCTTGTAAACAAACACCTGACTGGGCTATTTTTAGCCTGTACCACTCACATGATCATAAGAGAAAATCTCCAACAAGAAGCTGCAGACAATGCAGGTGATGCCAGTGAAGAGGTTGATGACAATCAAGGCAATGTAGGCCGTGCTGGGCTCTTTGAACCAGAAAGAGGCTGGGTACATCAAGGGGGTCATGGACCAGCTGGCAGAAGACACAACACAATGTAGGGCAGAAGACACAACACAATGTAGGGCAGAATTGTGGGATTATAGTCATTTTTTTAAATTGGTTTATTAAAGTAGTGAAGTGTTGGTAAATCTTTTTTCTGGAAGATTAAAAAAGTTTTAACAGGGAATGGTCTACTTACCCATACATGAGAAACAATGCCACAACAGCTGGCAGATTGGCAGATGACACATAGGCTGGGATTTGGAAGATGAGTAGAATCATAATGCACATGAATGCTGGGATGACATAGTTGGCCTGGAGAAAAAACAACAATTGTGTTTTTTACTGTAAGAATTTTGGGATTAGAAGTGAAATCATTATTCACAATGGGAAGACTGGCTGTATCACTGATTTGATTGGAATCTATTTAACTTTTTAAAACAACTCAAGATAACTTATAGGAAGTTTTGTTACTGAGGGATTAAATATTTAACTTTAGCAGCAGATTTAATTAACATGTCTAAGATATTATCTCCCCCCCCCCAACTACACCAGTTAAACAACAGCACTAGGCACACTGACCCCCCCCCCCCCCCTCCCCAACCACCTAAGATAAATATCAGCACTGACCATGTCCCAGATATAATTTCCACACCACCACCCCAGTCAAACATCAGCACTGACCATGTCCCAGATATAATTTCCACACCACCACCCCAGTCAAACATCAGCACTGACCATGTCCCAGATATAATTTCCACACCACCACCCCAGTCAAACATCAGCACCAACCATGTCCCAGATATAATTTCCACCCCCCCCCCCCCCCAATCAAACATCAGCACTGACCATGTCCCAGATATAATTTCCACCCCCCCTCCCCCAGTTAAACATCAACACTGACCATGTCCCAGATATAATTTCCACCCCCCCTCACCCCCCCAATCAAACACCAGCACTGACCATGCCCCCCCCCCCAATCAAACATCAGTACTGACCATGTCCCAGATATAATTCCCCCCTCCCTCCCCCCCCCCCCCTCCAGTCAAACATCAGCACTGACCATGTCCCAGATATAATTCCCCCCCTCCCTCCCCCCCCCAATCAAACACCAGCACTGACCATGTCCCAGATATAATTCCCCCCCTCCCTCCCCCCCCCCAATCAAACATCAGCACTGACCATGTCCCAGATATAATTCCCCCCCTCCCTCCCCCCCCCAATCAAACACCAGCACTGACCATGTCCCAGATATAATTCCCCCCTCCCCCCCCCCCCAATCAAACATCAGCACTGACCATGTCCCAGATATAATTCCCGATCCAGTACATGACAGGGTTCATGCCTGTGACAAACTGCAGGTGTTTGGACTTGGTCGACTTCTCATAGACCAGGAAAACAACAAAACTGGCCGGCACAAAAGACATGGCGGCAATGATGAAGATAGAGATCAGTACATCAGACCCTTCAAGACTGGGGAGATAAGACATTGGACAAGTAGAATGCAATACAATACATACAGAAAATAAAGTTTTAAGAACAGTACATTATCTTCACTTATTATAATAGTAAGGTTGAATATTATTTAAAGAGAAATTTTTAAAATGTTACTAAGCTAATTGTTAAAAAATTACATGCTTACACATTTCAATTTCATTAAAAAAAATCAGCAAGACCTACATGTAGTCAAAGGAAGAAAGTTGACTTTTGGTGTCGTTCCATGGGTGGTTGTACAGAGTTATCCCATAGGCTGCAGGGTTGCCCTTCTCTGGTGGCAGGTTGGCTCGCAAGATGGCGTTGTTCAGGGAATTCAGGAAAACTCCCATAGAGTGATAGCCCTTGTGGTTAAACCACATCTGAATAGACAGTTTGCACAATTTAAACCACATCTGAACAGACAATTTAAGGCTAGGTGCGGTACCAAATTTAGGTGTATCGGGTGCCTGATGTAGAATTTCAGTTTTGACCTAATTATTTAAATACATTCATTTCTAAACATAAAAACATATTAGTTATTACTAGAAAATAGTGATTTGTATTTTGTATTTATTGGGTAGTTTTTAAAAAAAAATTTTTTTTTTACTTCTTTTGCGTTTTTCTCAAAATTACAAATTTTACACTTCAAATTGCTACTCCTCAGTTAGTTCTACTGTATCTTACTGAAACTTTACCTTATTATTCTACAGATACATACACATAACTTCTATGTTCAATTTCTATCAAAACTTGCATTATTTTGATTTTAAAGCCAGAAATAAGCTACATTTGTGCACGTTTAAGCATTTTTTATCAGATTGATAGAATTTTTTTTAGAAAAAAAAGTTAGCTTGGCTTTACTTAAAATGTGAAACATAGAACTTAATAAGCTTAAATCGCCCTATATAATGCATGCATTTTGGTGTGTTTAGCACTTGTGGTTATAGAGCCTTAGCATTTTGAAAATGATAAACAAAAACAAATATGGCGGCCATTACCATGGCAACCATATGATAAAATAGATTCTTATACATTTTTTAAAAATAACTTTCAGTATATATTAATTAGCTTGAATGGTTTTTTAATGGATTAGCTTGAATAATAACGAAAAAGTGCATTTGGTGTAGCACCTAGCCTTAAACAGTTTTACCACATCTGAGAAATCTTTTAAAAATTGAAACCACCGATAGACACTGGACCAATACAGACAGTTGGCCAATAAAAATATTGGACCAATATTTTTTATAAATCCCTGCATTTACAATTTGTTGTCAGTTTTAGAAGATAGTTTTAAAAAACTACAATTGAATAAGCAGGTAAGAAAAAAGCTACAGTTAAGAATTAAGATAAACCCCTCTGTTGGTATAAAATACAATGTGAAAGTACTGAAGCAAATTATTTCATTACTGTTGACTTACTGTGGCCACATTTCTCACTGCCAGTTTTTTGAAAAGTGTTGGAGCATTTAGGCCAAAATTTTCTGGTACATAGTTCTGGACTAATCCAAATGACAGGCCTCCATACCTACAGTTAAAAAAATATTTACATTAATAAAATTGTAATAGTATTAGGAGAGATGAAAAATTTAAACTAATGGCAAATTAATTAATTTCGGCCAATGAGAAAATAATTTAAACTGTTGTAAAAGTGTTAATTTAAACTAATGGAAACTTATTAATTTAAAATAATAGAAAAGATTTTAAATGTACATGTCCAAGCATGGCAATAAATGCTGTTCTGTTATTAAATTTATATTATATTTGGTCAAATGTTGTTGAGTAATTTTGTTATTTTAATTTTTTTATTTACCAAATCTTACAGCCGAGGTCTGACTCATCAAATATTTGACTGAGGTCAACAACAAAAATTGATGATTAGTGGTCAAGGTAAGGCTATAATTCAAATCTTTAGTTGTGTTTACATTCAACTGCATGTAAGCCTATTTTTATAAAGGCAAGAAAAGAGAACTCTGAAAGTGAAGAGTGACCTGTGCATCTCCATGTCGTAGGTGGTGTAGAGGAGGTAGTCTTGTGTCTTCTGGCCAGTGATGTTGCGCAGGGTGTCCAGTGATACGGCCCTGTAGCTGGGCGGTTTCTCGTACGAGTCCTGCTGACAGGTGAAGCCGGTGCCATCTTCCTTGCAGGCACAGTTCTTGGGGTAGAACAGATTGGGGCTCAGGTGCCAATCTGTTCATGGGAAAATAATCTTTTGACGTGATCAGGGTAAGGTTTGGGATAGACAAGATAGTCTAGTCAGAATAATATACAGACAAAAAGGGAGAGGGGAAATCCATTACAATAACGAAGTTTAAGATGGATTCAAATTCTAAAACATTACAATTTACAAGGATATGGTTATCAGATTCCTATGACTCACATAAGCATTGAAGGGTGGCAGGACATGAAACCCACCCCCCCCCCCCTTCTTTCATGTGAAATACCGCCCACGAAACTGGAGTAGGAACTGACCTTAAACCTAAAATTTTACAATGTTAGGGTTAGAAAAATTTTCAGGATGACACTTTCCTGAAGGTATGATTGACAGGGGGGAATAGGTTCAGTGGGGAATGTCAGGGAATGTCTGAGGGTGCGTAATTGATGGGGGGGAAGGGGAAAGTAAAGTCCTAGACCCACATTAGAAAGATGGACTCAGGTTTAATTAAAGACTTGTCTAGTGATCAGTGCCTTAAGAAAAACAACACAATGAGAAACTTATGAAGAGATTCTCTTCAAGTCTGCAGTAAACACTGGTCAATGCAATAGATGTCACCAAAATGGCGGTCTGACCTGGGTTATGGCCATATCTGAAATCTGGTCGCTGCTGATTGGTCAGGCTGAGGTATTTGTGCACCATCCAATGGCAGCTGGGCTCGTAGTCCATGAGGGAGGTGACGTTGGTGATGTTGGGGTAGCTGAGCACACAGCTGGAGCCCAGACCAGAGGGGAAGGCCAGGGTGGCCTGTAGCAGGTGGGCACTGGCATCCAAGGGGTTGACCTTTGACCTGACCAAAGTAAACACCAGGACTCGTTAGTCTGAGGTCTAATTTAACTGTAGGGTTTTTTATTTTTTTTTTAATTACTTGAAATAAATTTTAAAAAAATAGAAATCAGCGCACAATAATATTTTTAAATAGAACTGCTTTTTTCTAGAAATTTTTTATGCAGATTTTATTTTTAATTTGTTATATAAACAAACACTTCTGGAGAAAAATTATAGCAGTACTTCTGTGATTAGTGTGATTAATATGCTAGTTGAACTTCTTCTTCGTGTTGGAAGGGATCCCCCTCCAACACAAGTATACGTGTAAACTGGTTGTCTCTCCTAGAAGAGTGGCTGTCCCCAGCTAACGAGCTTTATCTGCCCGAGGGTTCGAACTCAAGACTTTACCGAGTCGACCACGCCAACCGCTAGTTGAACAAACAACAAGATACACATAACTCCTCCCACGTGAAGGGAATTTTTTAAATACCCCAGGGTAAAAAACTCACATGTGGCTCATCCTTTCGTTAGTGAATGGCACAAAGTTTCCGTGCGGCTGGGTGACATTGGTGTACTGCAAGGTGCTCAGCTCCAGGGGTGGGAGGTCGTCCACAGAGGGCGCCGCCAGGGCCACGGTCATGGCGATGGCAACAAAGATGGCGGGCAGGATGATCTGGGAGAACAGACTGCGCCAGTTGCGGGTGATGTAGTGGAACCTTTTGATGATGACGGCCTTGAAGTGGTTCAGCAGGACCAGCTTGGGGTGCATCATGTGACCTCCTCGACCCTCCAGTAGAATTCTGGGAGCTTCATTAAAAATGGCTGGGGAAAGTCAACATTTTGAAAATAACGAACCATGATTAATGAGGGAGTTATGTGTCATAGTTACGCTGTTTTTAAACAAGAAAATTAAATATTAAAACGGCTTTACTTGAAAAAAAAATTGAAAGATTTAACAGACTTTTTTAACATATTTTTTTAGGTATTAAATAGAACAGGCAGGAGTACTTTACATAACCAGATAAACAGAAGAGCTCCACTTATTATTTATTTTTTTAATCTCTAACTTATTATCATCCCCAAAACAAAAATAAAAACAATCCAATTTTATTTTCCTCCAACAGAAGAGCTCTCCCATGAATATTGAAAGAGAAAAGCAAGTTGTTGTCATGCCTGTAAAGAGCATTAAACTAATTTAAAGAAATGTCCTCTCAATCAACTTACCCTGGTTGTGTCTGGACAAATTATTCATCAGCATATCCTCCCCCATGGGGGGATCACACGTGAAGTCCTCCAGGATAAGATTGTCTCCTCCTGACTCACTTCTGTACTGGCCCCTGCCTTTGTTTGGGCCAGGGAAGGGTTGGGGTTCCTCTGTGGCTCGTGGTGGGTCTGAGCCAGCTGCTGCAGCGTACGGGGGTGGGGGAGGGGGGGAGTGGCTCCTGCCCACCCCCATATCTGCCACAAAAACCTCCAGAGGTTTGGCTACATCTGAGGCTGGTACAGGAGAAAACAAATGACCGAAACAGTGGACAAATGATCAAAACTGGAAAAATGACCAAAACAGTGGACAAATGATCAAAACTGGACAAATGACCAAAACAGTGGACAAATGACCAAAACAGTGGACAAATGAAACAGTGAACAAATGACCAAAACAGTGGACAAATGACCAAACAGTGGACAAATGAAACAGTGGACAAATGACCAAAACAGTGGACAAATGACCAAAACAGTGGACAAATGACCAAAACAGTGGAAAAATGAAACAGTGGACAAATGACCAAAACAGTGGACAAATGATAAAAACTGGACAAATGACCAAAACAGTGGACAAATGATCAAAACTGGACAAATGACCAAAACAGTGGACAAATGACCAAAACAGTGGACAAATGACCAAAACAGTAAACAAATTATCAAAACAGTGGACAAATGACCAAAACAGTGGACAAATGACCAAAACAGTGGACAAATGACCAAAACAGTGGACAAATGACCAGAAGTGCAAAAACATAAAACCAGAGGTCTAAATACCAAAACAGTAGTTACATAAAAAAAAAGTAAATAACTTTATGTTCACAAAAAACCAAAAATAAAAATAAATCATTAACCCATTAAAACAACATTAACTGACCTTCTTCTTCAGTGTAAGCTGCGTCTGTGACCTTGAGAAAAATCTCCTCCAGGTTGGTGTCCATGACACCGTAGCTGCCAACTTTCAGCTCAGCTAAAGCATTGTCCAGGTTGCTGGGGAGGTAATAGAGAAGAAAACTTTTAGAACATCCTTAGGGCAGCTAAAGCATTGTCTAGGTTACTGGGGAGGTAATAGAGAACAAAACTTTTAGAACATCCTTAGGACAGCTAAAGCATTGTCTAGGTTACTGGGGAGGTAATAGAGAACAAAACTTTTAGAACATCCTTAGGACAGCTAAAGCATTGTCTAGGTTACTGGGGAGGAAATAGAGAACAAAACTTTTAGAACATCCTTAGGGCAGCTAAAGCATTGTCTAGGTTACTGGGGAGGTAATAGAGAACAAAACTTTTAGAACATCCTTAGGGCAGCTAAAGCATTGTCTAGGTTACTGGGGAGGTAATAGAGAACAAAACTTTTAGAACATCCTTAGGGCAGCTAAAGCATTGTCTAGGTTACTGGGGAGGTAATAGAGAACAAAACTTTTAGAACATCCTTAGGACAGCTAAAGCATTGTCCAGGTTGCTGGGGAGGTAATAGAGAACAAAACTTTTAGAACATCCTTAGGGCAGCTAAAGCATTGTCTAGGTTACTGGGGAGGTAATAGAGAACAAAACTTTTAGAACATCCTTAGGACAGCTAAAGCATTGTCCAGGTTGCTGGGGAGGTAATAGAGAACAAAACTTTTAGAACATCCTTAGGACAGCTAAAGCATTGTCTAGGTTACTGGGGAGGTAATAGAGAACAAAACTTTTAGAACATCCTTAGGACAGCTAAAGCATTGTCCAGGTTGCTGGGGAGGTAATAGAGAACAAAACTTTTAGAACATCCTTAGGGCAGCTAAAGCATTGTCTAGGTTACTGGGGAGGTAATAGAGAACAAAACTTTTAGAACATCCTTAGGGCAGCTAAAGCATTGTCTAGGTTACTGGGGAGGTAATAGAGAACAAAACTTTTAGAACATCCTTAGGACAGCTAAAGCATTGTCCAGGTTGCTGGGGAGGTAATAGAGAACAAAACTTTTAGAACATCCTTAGGGCAGCTAAAGCATTGTCTAGGTTACTGGGGAGGTAATAGAGAACAAAACTTTTAGAACATCCTTAGGGCAGCTAAAGCATTGTCTAGGTTACTGGGGAGGTAATAGAGAACAAAACTTTTAGAACATCCTTAGGACAGCTAAAGCATTGTCCAGGTTGCTGGGGAGGTAATAGAGAACAAAACTTTTAGAACATCCTTAGGACAGCTAAAGCATTGTCTAGGTTACTGGGGAGGTAATAGAGAACAAAACTTTTAGAACATCCTTAGGACAGCTAAAGCATTGTCCAGGTTGCTGGGGAGGTAATAGAGAACAAAACTTTTAGAACATCCTTAGGACAGCTAAAGCATTGTCCAGGTTACTGGGGAGGACATAGAGAACAAAACTTTTAGAACATCCTTAGGGCAGCTAAAGCATTGTCCAGGTTACTGGGGAGGTAATAGAGAACAAAACTTTTAGAACATCCTTAGGGCAGCTAAGGCATTGTCCAGGTTGCTGGGGAGGAAATAGAGAACAAAACTTTTAGAACATCCTTAGGGCAGCTAAAGCATTGTCTAGGTTACTGGGGAGGTAATAGAGAACAAAACTTTTAGAACATCCTTAGGGCAGCTAAAGCATTGTCTAGGTTACTGGGGAGGTAATAGAGAACAAAACTTTTAGAACATCCTTAGGGCAGCTAAAGCATTGTCCAGGTTACTGGAGAGGTAATAGAGAACAAAAATCTTTTGAATTATTTCACAGCTTTTGAAACATCCTTTTACACTTTCTTATTTTATGTAATATAACATTCAACAATGCCTCTAGGAATAAAATTATGTTTTACAGCTCTGTCAAAAAACAGATTTACAACAGTTTGGATTCATGGATTAAGTAAAGAAAAAATTGAAACTTTGTCAAATTCAGTTTTTCTGCTATTGTGTAGCAGGTCAACATTGCTTACCATCAAGTTTGTTGATCACTAGTTAACCCGTACCCATAGCAAACCCTGACAAAACCCTAACCTTTAATAAACCCTACCACTTTTATATAACCATAACCCATACCCTAATCTTGTAACCACAAAAATCTGGTACAGTGAGATTAACAGTGTTCAACAAAATCTACATACTGTGTCAAAAGAAAATGGACCATAATATACTGGCCATATTTAATCCAACTCATCCAGACCTCAGGACAAAAACAATCAGTACCTGAAAAGTCTTTCAAATCCCCCTTTTTTCACCTCCTCAAATGGGAGAATGTAGTGGAGCTCTCTTGTATTTTCTGACACCAGATAAGCACTGGAGACATATTTCTGAACAAATGCCGTGACCTTTGACTGTTGACACAAGGGCTGAGTTCTTGTCACGGGTTCACCTAAGAATAGAACAACAGAAACAATGTATTTACTAGCAAATGAAATGAAGATGTCTTTCTAAGTGATGTGTTAAATGATAGGGTGGTCAGCACCTTGCCCCGCCACCTCCACTAGCCCAGACTACCAAGGTCTCCCATCACTGCTTGCTGGACACAGGGTCCTTCTACTTCTACAGACTGAACTCTGGACTTATGGGTTTACAGTCATGGGTTTTTACATTCAACCATGGCATCCTATGTGACCTTTGACCTTAAACAAGTTTAACCCCAGACAGAAATAGTCAGGAAGTTAGATGACCCCAGATGCAAGTTGTATGACTTTGAACCAATCCCACCCCAGACACAAGTTGAATGACCTTTGAACTAGGCCCAACCCAGACACAAGTTGGATAACCTTGAACCAATCCCAACACAGACACAAGTTGGATGACCTTTGAACTAGGCCCAACCTAGACACAAGTTGTATGACCTTTGAACTCCTCCCACCCCAGACACAAGTTGTATGACCTTTGAACTCATCCCACCCAGGACACAAACGAGCTTACTGATGTCATCAAAGACAGGAGGCTCCTCCTTAGAGAGGGTCAGGTGATAGCCCTCTCCGATGGTGTTCTTGAGGAAGATGGACGTGCCGCAGCACTTGAGCTTGCCGTTGGAGATGATGGCGATCCTGTCCCCAAGGAAGTCAGCCTCGTCCATGTGGTGGGTGGACAACAGGATGGTGCGGCCTGCAAGTAGGGAATGGTCAGAGGGATTGGTGGTGTGTGGACAACAGGGAATGGTCAGAGGGATTGGTGGTGGGTGGACAACAGGATGGTGCGGCCTGCAAGTAGGGAATGGTCAGAGGGATTGGTGGTGGGTGGACAACAGGATGGTGCGGCCTGCAAGAAGGGAATGGTCAGAGGAATTGGTGGTGGGTGGACAACAGGATGGTGCGGCCTGCAAGTAGGGAATGGTCAAAGGGATTGGTGGTGTGTGGACAACAGGGAATGGTCAGAGGGATTGGTGGTGGGTGGACAACAGGATGGTGCGGCCTGCAAGTAGGGAATGGTCAGAGGGATTGGTGGTGGGTAGACAACAGGGAATGGTCAGAGGGATTGGTGGTGGGTGGACAACAGGATGGTGCAGCTTGCAAGTAGGGAATGGTCAGAGGGATTGGTGGTGGGTGGACAACAGGATGGTGCTGCCTGCAAGTAGGGAATGGTCAGAGGGATTGGTGGTGGGTGGACAACAGGGAATGGTCAGAGGGATTGGTGGTGGGTGAACAACAGGGAATGGTCAGAGGTATTGGTGGTGGGTGGACAACAGGGAATGGTCAGAGGTATTGGTGGTGGGTGGACAACAGGATGGTGCGGCCTGCAAGTAGGGAATGGTCAGAGGGATTGGTGGTGGGTGGACAACAGGGAATGGTCAGAGGGATTGGTGGTGGGTGGACAACAGGATGGTGCGCCCTGCAAGTAGGGAATGGTCAGAGGGATTGGTGGTGGGTAGACAACAGGGAATGGTGCGGCCTGCAAGTAGGGAATGGTCAGAGGGATTGGTGGTGGGTAGACAACAGGGAATGGTGCGGCCTGCAAGTAGGGAATGGTCAGAGGGATTGGTGGTGGGTGGACAACAGGATGGTGCTGCCTGCAAGTAGGGAATGGTCAGAGGGATTGGTGGTGGGTGGACAACAGGGAATGGTCAGAGGGATTGGTGGTGGGTGAACAACAGGGAATGGTCAGAGGTATTGGTGGTGGGTGGACAACAGGGAATGGTCAGAGGTATTGGTGGTGGGTGGACAACAGGATGGTGCGGCCTGCAAGTAGGGAATGGTCAGAGGGATTGGTGGTGGGTGGACAACAGGGAATGGTCAGAGGGATTGGTGGTGGGTGGACAACAGGATGGTGCGCCCTGCAAGTAGGGAATGGTCAGAGGGATTGGTGGTGGGTAGACAACAGGGAATGGTGCGGCCTGCAAGTAGGGAATGGTCAGAGGGATTGGTGGTGGGTAGACAACAGGGAATGGTGCGGCCTGCAAGTAGGGAATGGTCAGAGGGATTGGTGGTGGGTGGACAACAGGATGGTGCGGCCTGCAAGAAGGGAATGGTCAGAGGGATGACTATAAGTGAACGTTTCAGCTTAAATAAATGTAATAAGGGAGACAACCAATCAGTTTATGGTCTGATGTAGTTAAAAAACAAGTGGAGACAAATCTGGTGACAAAAATAAAATGGACAATAAAAATCTAACCATATTGCCTACTACAATTTTGAAACTTTTTTTACTGCTCAGTAATGGAATTATAATTATTAAAAACATGTATATCTTTAATATGTGAGGATTTCTATCCTTACAGTTGAAAACAACGCCCCCACATACCTTTCTTTAGTTTGACCAAGAGGTCCCAGATGGCCCTCCTGGCATAAGGGTCCACCCCAGCGGTCGGCTCGTCCAGTATGACAGTACGAGATCCTCCGACAAAGGCGATGGCTACAGAGAGTTTCCTCTGCATCCCTCCAGACAGACAGTCAACTCTGACTTTCCTTTTGTCTGGCAAGCCCAGGTCATCAATCATCCTAAAACAAGCAAAAGTCATCAATCATCCTAAAACAAGCAAAAGTCATCAATCATCCTGAAACAAGCAAAAGTCATCAATCATCCTAAAGCAAGCAAAAGTCATCAATCATCCTAAAACAAGCAAAAGTCATCAATCATCCTGAAACAAGCAAAAGTCATCAATCATCCTGAAACAAGCCCAAGTCATCAATCATCCTAAAACAAGCAAAAGTCATCAATCATCCTGAAACAAGCCCAAGTCATCAATCATCCTAAAACAAGCAAAAGTCATCAATCATCCTGAAACAAGCCCAAGTCATCAATCATCCTAAAGCAAGCAAAAGTCATCAATCATCCTAAAGCAATCACATGTCATCAATCATAACAAGCCCAAGTCATTAATCATCCTAAAACAATCACATGTCATCAATCATAACAAGCCCAAGTCATTAATCATAACAAGCCCAAGTCATTAATCATAACAAGCCCAAGTCATCAATCATCCTGAAACAAGCCCAAGTCATCAATCATAACAAGCCCAAGTCATCAATCATCCTAAAACAAGCAAAAGTCATCAATCATAACAAACCCAAGTCATCAATCATCCTAAAACAAGCCCAAGTCATCAATCATAACAAACCCAAGTCATCAATCATCCTAAAACAAGCCCAAGTCATCAATCATAACAAACCCAAGTCATCAATCATCCTAAAACAAGCCCATGTCATCAATCATAACAAGCCCAAGTCATCAATCATAACAAGCCCAAGTCATCAATCATCCTAAAACAAGCCCATGTCATCAATCATAACAAGCCCAAGTCATCAATCATAACAAGCCCAAGTCATCAATCATCCTGAAACAAGCCCAAGTCATCAATCATAACAAACCCAAGTCATCAATCATCCTAAAACAAGCAAAAGTCATCAATCATAACAAACCCAAGTCATCAATCATCCTAAAACAAGCCCAAGTCATCAATCATAACAAACCCAAGTCATCAATCATCCTAAAACAAGCCCAAGTCATCAATCATAACAAACCCAAGTCATCAATCATCCTAAAACAAGCAAAAGTCATCAATCATAACAAACCCAAGTCATCAATCATCCTAAAACAAGCCCAAGTCATTAATCATCCTAAAACAAGCAAAAGTCCTCAATCATCCTGAAACAAGCAAAAGTCATCAATCATCCTAAAACAAGCCCAAGTCATCAATCATTCTAAAACAAGCCCAAGTCATCAATCATCCTAAAACAAGCCCAAGTCATCAATCATAACAAGCCCAAGTCATTAATCATCCTAAAACAAGCCCAAGTCATTAATCATCCTAAAACAAGCCCAAGTCATCAATCATAACAAGCCCAGGTCATCAATCATCCTAAAACAAGCCCAAGTCATCAATCATAACAAGCCCAAGTCATCAATCATAACAAGCCCAAGTCATCAATCATCCTAAAACAAGCAAAAGTCATCAATCATAACAAGCCCAAGTCATCAATCATAACAAGCCCAAGTCATCAATCATAACAAGCCCAAGTCATCAATCATAACAAGCTCAAGTCATCAATCATAACAAGCCCAAGTCATCAATCATCCTAAAACAAGCAAAAGTCATCAATCATCCTTAAAAAGCCCAAAACAATCATTCTAAAACAAAGCATAAAGAATCCTCCTAAGGAATATATTTTTCAGTTAAATAAATTCATAAATTCATAGGTACTAGCTAAGAATTTCCCAAACTTTGACAAGGGATTCCATTTAGACAGGCAAATAAAACTTTATAACTCACAGTATTCCCTAACATATTTTATCCCAAATATGTTTTGATTCCACAACTAAAAAAAAACCAAGTCTAAAAGAATGAGTAAAATGACATGAGAAGAAAATGTACTTGTTGGTCTCTGTCTGTATGTCTTCTGCTTTCATCCCTTTCAGCTTGGCAAAAAACCACAGGTGCTCCTCAACTGTGAACCTAGAGTTGTAAACAAATATTGAAATCAATTCAGCAGCAACATAATGTACCACAAACTTGCAGTCATTTATCTTGTTTAAAAACTAAAATTGTAAACAAATATTGAAATCAATTCAGCAGCAACTTAATGTACCACAAACTTGCAGTCATTTCATCTTGTTTAAAAACTAATGTTAGTTAAATAATGCAATAAATAATATGAAAAAGGTATATTTTATTCTACAATATCTCTCTATGCAATGTTTAATTATGGAACTGTAGACTTAACCCTTTCACCACAATGCATCCATACTAAGGGACATAATTCATTAAAACAATAGAGGGCAGGGTAAACAAATATTGTATTTAAACATAAGGAACTAAAATTAATGAGTTTATATTATTCTGATACTGACATGACATAAAGCCCATGGCAGAAGTGACTCACTTGTCAAAAAGTACATTGTGTTGTGGGCACATATGACTGAAGTGACTCACTTGTCAAAAAGTACATTGTGTTGTGGCCACATATGACTGAAGTGACTCACTTGTCAAAAAGTACATTATGTTGTGGGGACATATGACTGAAGTGACTCACTTGTCAAAAAGTACATTGTGTTGTGGGCACATATGACTGAAGTGACTCACTTGTCAAAAAGTACATTATGTTGTGGGGACATATGACTGAAGTGACTCACTTGTCAAAAAGTACATTGTGTTGTGGCCACATATGACTGAAGTGACTCACTTGTCAAAAAGTACATTGTGTTGTGGGCACATATGACTGAAGTGACTCACTTGTCAAAAAGTACATTGTGTTGTGGGCACATATGACTGAAGTGACTCACTTGTCAAAAAGTACATTGTGTTGTGGGCACATATGACTGAAGTGACTCACTTGTCAAAAAGTACATTGTGTTGTGGGCACATGCCCAGACTTTGTCTGATAATATCCATGTCTGTTCTGATGTCATAATTGTAGATGGAGGCGGTTCCTGCTGTGGGCGGGATCAAACCTGTCAGCATTGACCTATCAGAGAAGAGGGTGGGATTTAAAATTGTCACCATTGGCTTAAATAAATCTTAACAGTTGAACTTTCTTTACTAGTCCAACATTTCATTAAATTTAAAAGAATTGTTTCCTCTACTCACATGGTAGTAGTTTTGCCTGCACCATTGTGACCCAGGAAGGAAGTGATCTGCCCCTCATACAGGTTCAGACTTAAATTTTTTACTGCTGTCTTTTTGCCAAGTTTGTAAACCTAAGGAGTATTCCAGTTCCTTTATGTCATAACTATATGCAAATGACTTCATTTTATTTAAAAATATTTCAATCCTTTATGTCATAACTATATCCAAATGGCTTCAATTTTTAAAAAAATATTTCAAACACAAACTAAAAAATTTAAATTCTAAGAATGACAGCCTTTAGCAAGTTACATTTATTGCCATAAGAGTTCAAGGCAGGTGTCGTTGTACCATAAATAAGAGTGGAAACCTACCTTAGACAAATTGTCAATGCAAACTCCCAGTGGGAGGTGGACTGGGTCTGGTTCAAAGCGATGAGCACTCTCTGGGGATCAAAGTTTAATTAGTTACTTGACATAGGGCAATGGGACACACACACACAATCTATTTAGGATTGTGTTAAAACTTGACAGCCGACAGATTTAACATTGAAGACTTTTATTTTATCTGAAGCTGGATGTCTTCAAAGACCTCTGGACTGATGTATAGAAACTTTACTGACTGGCCAAATGACCTTTACTGACCTCCAGTAAATTTACTGACTGATCTCTAGTATCTTTACTGACTGACCTAAGACCTTTACAGACAAACCAATGAGACATTTACTGACCTATGATATGAGACCTTTACTGACCTACTATATGAGACCTTTACTGACCTACTATATAAGACCTTCACTGACCTACTATAAGAGACCTTTACTGACCTACTATAAGAGACCTTTACTGACCTGCTCTATAAGACCTTTACTGACCTACTATTTGAGACCTTTACTGACCTACTATATAAGACCTTCACTGACCTACTATAAGAGACCTTTACTGACCTGCTCTATAAGACCTTTACTGACCTACTATAAGAGACCTTTACTGACCTACTATATAAGACCTTTACTGACCTTACTATATGAGACCTTCACTGACCTACTATATGAGACCTTCACTGACCTTACTATATGAGACCTTCACTGACCTACTATATGAGACCTTCACTGACCTACTATATAAGACCTTCACTGACCTGCTCTATGATGTGCTATAGCACAGGCCTGATCCTCATCCATAACAGACAGCTGCTCCACGCCACCGAGACAACACCGCAAGCAAGGGAAGCCACTGTGTTCCACGTGCTTGTTGCCCCCACACCAATATGACTTCATGAATGGGAAATACCAGGGCTTAGGTAGACCATAGGAACCTGGAAGAAAGTAGACATTAAACTTTATAAATAGAAAGGATATCTATCTTACAGAATGGCTAGCTGCCTAAAGATAAAGACACTGAACTTTAAATAAACAGATAATTTATATCATACTTAAAATGTCCTTTGTTTATATTGTGATAGTTTATAATGTGGGCTTTTGTTTGGTTGATAGTTGTAATAGTTGGAGTTTGTATTCTGTTAAGTGTGAGCACTGTGGTGAGTGGGTGTACAGTGGGTGTATAGTGGGTGTACAGTAGATGTAGTGGGTGTACAGTGGGTGTACAGTGGGCGTACAGTGGGAGTACAGTGGATGTACAGTGGGTGTACAGTGGGTGTACAGTGGGTGTACAGTAGGTGTACAGTGGGTGTACAGTGGGTGTACAGTAGGTGTACAGTGGGTGTACAGTGGGTGTACAGTAGGTGTACAGTAGGTGTACGCAAGCTCTATGTAACACAGGACAAACCTGGATGGACATGCTCGATGTACCAGACAAGTATGGCGTACAGGAAACAGTCAAACACCATCATCATGGTCACCATAAACAAATTAAACTCGTCATGTTCCGCGGGCGAAACAGCGATATTTTTCCACTGGACTCCGATGCCCATTTCTTCATAAAAAGCAAAGTATTTTGCCCCCAGTCCAAAAGCTGTAGTTGAAAACAGTGACTAAAGAAAAAAAAAATTAAAAAATTAACTACAGCAATCACACAAAACTGCATGATTAAAATAATTAGTTCAAACATACATATTAAATAATAACATGAAAAAAATCTTAAAATCTTATCAGAAAATACTTTTAAAAAGTGTTTCATTTGTTAATAATAAAACATTTTTAATTAACTAACAAGAAAATATAATTAATCAAAAATAGCAAAAAATTATACTTAATTAACAATAGCAAAAAAAAGTTTGTTTAATTAAAACCTTTTTATAAGTGAAAAAAAAAGTAAATAAAACTAGCTTGAAAATGTTTGAATGCTTACTGCCAGACTTTTCCACACACCGGATATGTTGTCCCCTGCTATATCTTCTTTGATAGCTATATACATGTACGGGACATACGACAGGAAGTAGATAATACCAGCACAAGCTGCGGCAACTTTAGCTTTTGAATAGAGGACACTGATCAGAAAGCTGAAACACAGGTTAAATATCAGCTAATAGAGGACACTGATCATAGCTGAAACACAGAAACACAGGTTAAATATCAGCTAATAGAGGACACTGATCAGAAAGCTGAAATACAGAAACACAGGGTAAATATCAGCTAATAGAGGACACTGATCAGAAAGCTGAAATACAGAAACACAGGGTAAATATCAGCTAATAGAGGACACTGATCAGAAAGCTGAAACACAGAAACACAGGTTAAATATCAGCTAATAGAGGACACTGATCATAGCTGCAACACAGAAACACAGGTTAAATATCAGCTAATAGAGGACACTGATCATAGCTGCAACACAGAAACACAGGTTAAATATCAGCTAATAGAGGACACTGATCAGAAAGCTGAAACACAGAAACACAGGTTAAATATCAGCTAATAGAGGACACTGATCATAGCTGAAACACAGAAACACAGGTTAAATATCAGCTAATAGAGGACACTGATCATAGCTGCAACACAGAAACACAGGTTAAATATCAGCTAATAGAGGACACTGATCATAGCTGCAACACAGAAACACAGGTTAAATATCAGCTAATAGAGGACACTGATCAGAAAGCTGAAACACAGAAACACAGGTTAAATATCAGCTAATAGAGGACACTGATCATAGCTGAAACACAGAAACACAGGTTAAATATCAGCTAATAGAGGACACTGATCATAGCTGAAACAGAAACACAGGTTAAATATCAGCTAATAGAGGACACTGATCAGAAAGCTGAAACACAGAAACACAGGTTAAATATCAGCTAATAGAGGACACTGATCATAGCTGAAACACAGAAACACAGGTTAAATATCAGCTAATAGAGGACACTGATCAGAAAGCTGAAACACAGAAACACAGGTTAAATATCAGCTAATAGAGGACACTGATCAGAAAGCTGAAACACAGAAACACAGGTTAAATATCAGCTAATAGAGGACACTGATCAGAAAGCTGAAACACAGAAACACAGGTTAAATATCAGCTAATAGAGGACACTGATCAGAAAGCTGAAACACAGGGTAAATATCAGCTAATAGAGGACACTGATCATAGCTGAAACACAAAAACACAGGTTAAATATCAGCTAATAGAGGACACTGATCATAGCTGAAACACAGAAACACAGGTTAAATATCAGCTAATAGAGGACACTGATCATAGCTGAAACACAGAAACACAGGTTAAATATCAGCTAATAGAGGACACTGATCATAGCTGAAACACAGAAACACAGGTTAAATATCAGCTAATAGAGGACACTGATCATAGCTGAAACACAAAAAAACTCACACAAAAAATATGATCACACAGGCATAGACCAAAATACTTACGTGAAGGATATGATGGCACAGATACTCACGAGAAGGATAAGATCACACAGATGTAGACCAACAGACTTACGAGAAGGATATGATGGCACAGATGTAGACCAAAAGACTCACGAAAAAGACATGATGGCGCAGATGTAGACCAAAAGACTCACGAAAAAGACATGATGGCACAGATGTAGACCAAAAGACTTACAAGAAGGATATGATGGCACAGATGTAGACCAAAAGACTCACGAAAAAGACATGATGGCACAGATGTAGACCAAAAGACTTACGAGAAGGATATGATGGCACAGATGTAGACCAAAAGACTCACGAAAAAGACATGATGGCGCAGATGTAGACCAAAAGACTTACAAGAAGGATATGATGGCGCAGATGTAGACCAAAAGACTTACGAGAAGGATATGATGGCACAGATACTCACGAGAAGGATATGATGGCGCAGATGTAGACCTCCAGCACCAAGAAGATGATGAATGTGTTGCTGTGGGGCAGGACGTTGCCCATCTTGAGCAGTGCGGTCAGGATGAGGACGGACATGGTCATCTGGAGGAAGGTGGTGACAAACCAGGCGCACCAGTGGACGGCGTTGCTCAACCCCATCATCTTCATCACCTGGGTAACATTCCAAAAATAGAATCAACAAAGACATGAAACAAATTTTATTAAATTAATTTTTAAAACTCTTTGTAAACTATTTATTAACTACAGTATCATAACTTCAACAAACTTTTAAGCTGGATAAAAAAGACCAAACCTTAAACTATTTTTGTAACAAGTCATGAGAAAATGTTATAAAAATATTATTGTAATTACAAATTTAACAAGAATATTTTTTATGGACTGGATATAAAGTAAAACTACTGAGTTAGCAGATAAACTGGTAGTGTCATGCCTTATCATTGAATTATTGACCTCAATTTTAAGGAACAACCCAAGAAAAAGTGAATCTTTAATTAAAAACCATCAGTTGGTGACCACCAAATACATGCACTACCCCTGAAAATAGGGCTGGCCATAAAAATGGGGCTGGCCATAGAAAATGGTGGCTGGTGATAGAAAATGTGACTTGCCTCTTTGAGCCTCTGTTCCTTCTCATAGACAATGCTCTGTACCAACATGGCTACCGTGTAGACCCAGCTGAACGTCAGGCACAGCGGCATCACATGCTCAATCATAAACATGAACCTGGGACATAGAGGGTTAATCAAGCTATGGGGCATCACATGCTCAATCATAAACATGAACCTGGGGATGTCAGGACATAGAGGGTTAATCAAGCTATGGGGCATCACATGCTCAATCATAAACATGAACCTGGGGATGTCAGGACATAGAGGGTTAATCAAACTATGGGGCATCACATGCTCAATCATAAACATGAACCTGGGGATGTCAGGACATAGAGGGTTAATCAAACTATGGGGCATCACATGCTCAATCATAAACATGAACCTGGGGATGTCAGGACATAGAGGGTTAATCAAACTATGGGGCATCACATGCTCAATCATAAACATGAACCTGGGGATGTCAGGACATAGAGGGTTAATCAAACTATGGGGCATCACATGCTCAATCATAAACATGAACCTGGGGATGTCAGGACATAGAGGGTTAATCAAACTATGGAAACATGAACTTGGGGATGTCAGGACATAGAGGGTTAATCAAACTATGGGGCATCACATGCTCAATCATAAACATGAACCTGGGGATGTCAGGACATAGAGGGTTAATCAAACTATGGGGCATCACATGCTCAATCATAAACATGAACCTGGGACATAGAGGGTTAATCAAGCTATAGAAGCATGAGTCTGGTGAGTTCAGGACATAGAGGGTTAATCAAACTATGAGGTGTACCATGCTCAATCATAAACATGAGTCAATCCCAAACATAAATGTGGTCATGTGACTCGATGATCCCAAAGAAAAACATTGTCACATGACCAACTTACTGGTCATGTGACTCAGCAATCCAAAACAAAAACAAAGTCACATGACTAACTTACTGGTCCCAGACATAGCAGGGGTAGGGAAACTGTTGAATGTAGCTGCCAGGCTCCACCACATCTCTCCCCACTTGCAGGTCAATCACTGCCCTCTCTATCATGTCCTGGTGGGGAGACAAACAGACACTTCATACAGGGTGTAGTGGAAGGCAACACATGTTAGAGCTAATACATTAGACGGCAACATTTAAACCAAACTTCAACACAACATACCAAACAAAAAATAACATTTGAACCAAAATATAAAACAATACTATGACATAAATGTAACATTAAAATCACAATGAGTTGACAATATACAATAAAACAGAAACAGATTATTTGACTACAAGCCAATCAAATATTTTAAAATCACAAAAACTAAACAAAGAAAACAAAGTGTAACAAAATTTTATTAAAAAAATAGTCCCAATGACTAGAAACTGATGTTTGAGCCTGCACAATTTTCTTACCTGTACCCAGACAAAGCCAAACTGGTAGTATGGGTAAAAATTCTGGCCAGGTCCTGGTACCCAGGTGGGTTTTCTCACTTGTTTGGTTGAGGGCAGGTAGGTGGCATTCTGGCGGATTTTGTACCGCAGGTGGTTGGGGATGGACCCATCCTCAGGGAGATCTTGAAACACCACGCCTGGGCAAGGATTTCACAGAAACATTTGAAATAACTTTCACAGAACTAAAGAATGTGTTCCTTTTTTTTACAGGAAATTTAAAAAAAAACGTTTAGTCTGATCCCTTAATTATTTTAATTAATTACCTGCAATTATACTGGCATTATCCTGATATGCCTGGGTCAAAAAATAGTTGAGCATGTCATCCTCAGTGGAGAAACCCCGGAAAATATTGAGGTTTATGCCTGGAAAGTTGATCAAAATAGGAAAATATTGAGATTTATGCCTGGAAAGTTGATCAAAAGAGGAATATATTGAGATGTATGCCTGGAAAGTTGATCAAAATAGGAGTATATTGAGATTTATGCCTGGAAAGTTGATCAAAATAGGAATATATTGAGATTTATGCCTGGAAAGTTGATCAAAATAGGAAAATATTGAGATTTATGCCTGGAAAGTTGATCAAAATAGGAAAATATTGAGATTTATGCCTGGAAAGTTGAAGTAGGAAAAAATTGAGATTTATGCCTGGAAAGTTAAATAGTTTAAAAATTTAGAAAACTAACAACCCTCTGGCCAGCCAACCTTACCTTTCATCATAGTCAGCCAACCATTGGCAGCCCTGTCGATGAGATTAAGCTGGTGCTCATAGAACTGGCTGTCGTAGATGTTCATCTTGAGGTAGGAGGAGAACTTGTTCCACTGCAGCAGCCAGGAGACCACGCTCCGGTACGACTGGATGTCTTCCTGCATCTGATCAAGGTGTGGACTTCGTTAGTTACATACAGCTCGTTAGTAGCTTTATTCAGAGAGCTCATTAACAATTGTACAGACATATTTTTAGAGGCTTTAATTGCAAAGTTCGCAAGAGGCAATTACATAGATAGAAACTTTAATTACTTAATTTGCTAAGGCCTTTACTCACTTAATTAGAACAATTTCTGTTAAAAATTTCTTATATAATATATATATACACTTTCAGCTGGTGGATATGAATTTAGTGAGCAATATTTTAGAAAAAATGTTGACACCAACACCCCAACCAAACATTGTGATAAACACTACCATTAATTTGTCATGGCTAATCTAAACACTACCATTAACAAGTCACAACTAATCCAAACCCTAACACTAATATTATCACGACTTATCCAAACACTAACACTAATACCACCATGACTAACCCTGACCTTTTTGACCAGCTGCAGGTTGCGAGCTGTCTTCTCCTCGTGCAGGTAGGCGTGCATCCTGCGGGAGATGTTCAGCCAGACGGTGGCGTAGTTACTGATCAGATCAACAAAGGCTATGGTGGTGTTGGCCTGAAAACATCAGTTTAAGGTGAGATTTTTTTATGTGTTAAGTTTTTAGTTACTGATCAGATCAACAAAGGCTATGGTCGTGTTGGCGTGAAAACATCAGTTTAAGGTGGGATTTTTTCTATGTGTTAAGTTTTTAGTTACTGATCAGATCAACAAAGGCTATGGTCGTGTTGGCGTGAAAACATCAGTTTAAGGTGGGATTTTTTCTATGTGTTAAGTTTTTAGTTTAGTTCATAAAACTGTGGTCAACGCTTAGTTAAGATTACCACAACAAAATTTAGGTAGACATAAGTACATTTTAGTTTTGAGAGGAAGAGGTTAGAACATGTAGGTTTTAAAACTTGTGTTTTTAAGCATATTGCATTTAAGCTGAATTGGAGATTTATGTATTTTATTTATTTAAATTTTAAATATAGAAAGTTTTTTAATAAAAAACTATACTTGTATCTAGAATGTTTCTAAAATAATGAATAAAAAAACTCTAGTTATATTTAGACTTGCTTAACAAACGAATGAGGTAACAAAAAATTAAAAAAATGAAACAAACTTTTTCAATGATTTTGTCAGCAGCTGTGCCGTTGGGTGCGTAGAGCACAGTGGGGTTGTAGTAGAGGTAGTGCTGTATGATGCTCAACTTGTCACGCTGGGCTTGTGTCATCCCCAGGGCATCTGAGACAACAGTTATATCATATGTTTAGCTATGGTGGGGGAATTATGGAACGGTTACATTAAATGTTTAGCTCAGGCAGGGGATTACTTCTAACAAGAAGTAAGAAACAGTAGGAATAAAGTAATTTTAAAATTTCTTCCTGTTGATTTAAAGAATGGGAGTGATTAAAGTTGGTGTGGTGGTGCTGGACTTTGGAGTGAACAACTGGCCAGGTAATACAAGGACTGCTGGGGTCAGTGTTGGGTTATAGGGAAAGATAATGACCAGGGGGTAAGGACAATATCTATGGGGTGGCAAGTTAGGAAAGCACAGCTCATAAGTGCTAACTCAAAAGTCTTGAGTTCAGATCCTAGAGTCCACCCAACTCTGACGAGTACCTGACTCTAGTTTAGGAAAGTAAAGGTAGCCGGGCATAGTGCTGAGCACGCTATCACTTCATATGCCAAACTACAGGAAACAGGTGAACTCTACTTCACCAGCCCAATAGATCACCAGGTCCAAAAGGGTAACTTTTAAGCACTATTTTATGTTGAATAGTGTTGTGATGCTCTGACTTCAAACATCAATTAGAAAAGAAAATGTCACAAACCCTCATCAACTTTCTCTTTATCTTCTTCATCTCCACCATCCTTGTCTTTCTTCCCCTTTCCTTTGGGTGGGTGTGGCGTTGTTGGGGGCGGGACCACCTTCTTGCCACACACCGTCTGATGGAGGAAGTCCCACATCTTCATCCAGCCACTCTTCTTCCTTCTGTCTCCACTCTAAACACACAGATGTACACATTAGATACATTAGATAGTGGCGTACACATTAGATAGTGGCGTACACATTAGATAGTGGCATACACATTAGATAGTGGCGTACACATTGGATAGTGGCGTACACGTTAGATAGTGGTGTACACATTAGATAGTGGTGTACACATTAGATAGTGGTGTACACATTAGATAGTGGTGTACACATTAGATAGTGGTGTACACTACACATTAGATAGTGGTATACACATTTGATAGTGGTGTACACATTAGATAGTGGTGTACACATAAGATAGTGGCGAACACATTAGACAGTGGTGTATGCATCAGCTAGCACAGTGGTGTACACATCTTCAAGAGCAGGTGTACATATAGGTTTACTTAAGTTTACATGCTTCTTTATGTACACACACTTACCACAACCCAGAGGTGTAGTAAGGGCAGGGGGGGTGGTGTGGTCCGCACCGGTTGACACCATTTAGGGGGTGACACCAAGGCAAAAAATTGCCAAATTTTCAGAAGAAAAATGCTTTTTACATGTCCCATGTATAATTTTAAGTACAAATTTAGTAATAAATATAGATATATACTTTAATTGTTGTTTTTATTTTTGGGGGGTGGGGGATGACACCACAAAGTGCCGCACCGGGTGACACCCGACCTAGCGACACCACTGTTACTACCAAAACATTTATGTTAGTGTTATTATCCAAAAAGGTTAGGTGCCTATGTACTCATGTACACATTCTATAGTGTACATATTTTACTATGAACAACAATCCTAAACCAACAATATTTCTTTGTGCATACACTGTTGGGGGGGGGGAGGGGGGGGGGGAGTGAGATAGAAGGGAGAAGAAAACATTTTCAACAATCACCAGGGGAGTTAACTTTTTTTAAATAATAAGGGGAAACTACTATCATGGCTAAATTTAAAATACCTAGGGGAAAACCAACTGTTAGAAGTGTTTAACAACAACCCACCTGATCAGTATCTGAATCTGTAGTTGTGGGGAAAACCAACTGTCAGAAGTGTTTAACAACAACAACCCACCTGATCAGTATCTGAATCTGTAGTTGAGTTATCAGGGGACACGACTGTCATGTTGACGGTACTAGTATCAGTGACGTTTTCATCAAATGGGAGCAGTGAAATCAACTTAGCAATCTCATCCAGCTCTTTCTGAAACTTGATGAACCTGTTAAGCTGCACAAAACAACACATGGAAAGTGGCTATTAATCTCACATGTTACACAGGCTCTCAAGGATAAAAGGGGAGATATTGATAAAAAAAATATACAAATTTTTAATATTAAACTTTTTTAAAATGTAAAAATAATTATAACAAAACTAACGTTTTTAAATTAATAAATATTTACATGAAAACTTAATTTTAAAAAAAGAAAGAATCTAAATAAAAAATAAAAGGTATTTGAGCTTACTTTATCAAGAAAAATATCCAGCTTGATGACAGTGGCTGTCACGTTGATTTGTTTCAAGTTGAGCTGGGAGAGAAACAAATGGTGGGGAAAAGATGAAATAAATGGTGGGGAGATGGTAAAATAACTGGGATATTTCAGTGAAATGGTTCAATAAATCTGAGGGGGGGGGGGGGGGGGGGGGAAATGGGACAAACGTGAAAACATTTCAACTGGTTGACCAGCAGACATAAAGCAGAAGATGATAAGGAACTTAACACAATGCAGGATTCTGACAGGCACATTTTTAAAATGCTCAGCTCAAGCTAAATGCATGGAAACTATTTTTTTAATTTTGGGGTAGGCATGGTGGAGAGGAGGGGGGGGGGGTTCCCAGTTTGAACTGGGGACAGCAACTCATCAAGGAGAGAAAATTCCAAGCTGCATTGTAGTTTGTTCTTGGATAGACAAAGACTATGGAAGCTTATTTGCCAGAGGGTTCGAACTCAAGACTTTTCCATTCAGCAACCATAAGCTTTACCGACTCGACCATACCTACCCCTAATCTAGTTATAATATTTCTAATTTTTTAATTTAAAAAATGTAAAAAAAAAAAAACCCATCAAATGAATTATTGTCATTAGGTCAGATAGTTCTTGAGAGAAGTGTACCTCACTATGGCCAACATTCAAATTGGGTCTAATTAAAACAATGTCAACACCTCTTGAGAGAAGTGTATCTCACTATGGCCACCATTCAAATTGGGTCTAATTAAAACAATGTCAACACCTCTTGAGAGAAGTGTATCTCACTATGGCCACCATTCAAATTGAGTCTAATTAAAACAATGTCAACACCTCTTGAGAGAAGTGTATCTCACTATGGCCACCATTCAAATTGGGTCTAATTAAAACAATGTCAACACCTCTTGAGAGAAGTGTATCTCACTATGGCCACCATTCAAATTGGGTCTAATTAAAACAATGTCAACACCTCTTGAGAGAAGTGTATCTCACTATGGCCACCATTCAAATTGAGTCTAATTAAAACAATGTCAACACCTCTTGAGAGAAGTGTACCTCACTACGGCCACCATTCAAATTGAGTCTAATTAAAACAATGTCAACACCTCTTGAGAGAAGTGTATCTCACTATGGCCACCATTCAAATTGGGTCTAATTAAAACAATGTCAACACCTCTTGAGAGAAGTGTATCTCACTATGGCCACCATTCAAATTGGGTCTAATTAAAACAATGTCAACACCTCTTGAGAGAAGTGTACCTCACTATGGCCACCATTCAAATTGGGTCTAATTAAAACAATGTCAACACCTCTTGAGAGAAGTGTATCTCACTATGGCCACCATTCAAATTGGGTCTAATTAAAACAATGTCAACACCTCTTGAGAGAAGTGTATCTCACTATGGCCACCATTCAAATTGGGTCTAATTAAAACAATGTCAACACCTCTTGAGAGAAGTGTATCTCACTATGGCCACCATTCAAATTGAGTCTAATTAAAACAATGTCAACACCTCTTGAGAGAAGTGTATCTCACTATGGCCACCATTCAAATTGGGTCTAATTAAAACAATGTCAACACCTCTTGAGAGAAGTGTACCTCACTATGGCCACCATTCAAATTGAGTCTAATTAAAACAATGTCAACACCTCTTGAGAGAAGTGTACCTCACTACGGCCACCATTCAAATTGGGTCTAATTAAAACAATGTAAACACCTACCAGGTGAATGATCTCATCTGTGGTCACCTGGTAATACAGCTCTTGTGACAGTTCTGTCAGCTGGGACTGGTTCAGGTGACACAGCCGGTACTGGAGGTCATTCTGAAAGTTTACAAGATTTGTAGCTATTTAAAATCCTGCAAATAGGGCAACTAAAAAAGAAAAGATGATGATGATGTCAAATCATGTTTTAAATACAGTAAATAAGAACACATCTGAAAGCTCTGATTTTGTGTTTCAACCTTTATGATGAAAACATGATCCCCCAATATATACTGTATTAATAAGTAACCAGAAGAATCCATCTCTAGATTTAAAGTAGAAATACACTTAAGGAAGGTAAAACTACACAGATCAGAAACATTCTATTTTTTAAACTGACCACATTGTTATGGCCACAGACAAAAATGTCAGAATATAAAATGACAATGCCATTGTGACCCTGAACAAAAATGTCAGAATATAAAATGACAATGCCATTGTGACCGTAAACAAAAATGTCAGAATATAAAATGACAACGCCACTGTGACCTTGAACAAAAATGTCAGAATATAAAATGACAACGCCATTGTGACCGTAAACAAAAATGTCAGAATATAAAATGACAATGCCATTGTGACCTTGAACAAAAATGTCAGAATATAAAATGACAATGCCATTGTGACCTTGAACTGTCTGACAGCATTTTTTTGACAGGACTCACCAGTTGTGACCTGTTCAGGAAATGTTCGGGGATGATGACAATCTCAAAGGTCATGTTGTCACAGGCGATATCTTGCAGGAAAATGTTGGATTTGAAAATATTCTGGGGGAAAAATATTGAATGAACAACTAGGATTTGTTTAATAACTAAAACAAAATATAATTATTTAATTTTTGAATTTAGCAAAAATATCGGACAAAAATTTTTTTTTTAATTTAACGGATAAAACACTTGAAAAATTAAACACTTTTTGGACTAAGTTTCTCTTAGACAAGGGAAATTTTTAAAAAAACATTGCCACTTGTCTCCCTTTATCTTGGTGGTCCAGTTGTTACCTTGCTGGGTTAGGTCAGGTGATTAAAGGTCAGCTGATTACCTTGATGGTGGCAGCAACATCCTGTGGCTGGATGATGACAGAGTTATTGGTGTCTTTCAGCCCTTCCACCACTTCCATCACCGTCTGGATCAGGTACCTGGATGTATCGTCTTTGAGTGTGACATCAGACTTCAGCAGACTGAAACATTCACAAACACAAGCTTATGATAACAGCAGGCTGAAACATTCACAAACGACAACTTATGATAATAGCAGTCTGAAACATTCACAAACACAAGCTTATCACAACAGCAGACTGAAACATTCACAAACCTAAGTTTATGAGAACAGCAGTCTGAAACATTCACAAACACAAACTTATCACAACAGCAGACTGAAACATTCACAAACACCAATTTATGATAACAGCAGTCTAAAACATTCACAAACACAAACTTATGACAACAGCAAACTGAAACATTCACAAACACAAGTTTATGAAAACAGCAGTCTAAAAATTCATTCAACAACCTATCTAGACCTTAACAGTGTGAAACATTCACAAACACCACCTTATGACTACACTAGTCTGAAACATTCACAAATGACAACTTATAATAATAGCAGTTTGAAACATTCACAAATGTTAATTTATAATAATAGCAGACTGATACATTTACAAATGACAAGTTATGACAACAGCAGTCTAAAAAATTAATTCAGCAACTTAACAGCAGTCTAAAAATGTATTCAAGAAAGCTAAAAAAGAACATATATATATATACATATTAATGAATTTTAAAAACTCAATTTTTCTGTACCCCTGTATCAACTGATCCAAGAACTGATTTTGTTTCTCCGTGTCGTTCAGTGCCAGGATTTCTTCCATCAGAAGAGCCAAGCTGGCCGGTACCTGCGGGTGACCAGGAGTTGTCTTCCCTTGGTTGGTCAGCCAGGCCATGAAGACACTTTTCATGGCCGCCATCATCAGAGGCTTGCTGACCAGAGGCAGCACGGAGGACAGGTTCAAGGGGCCGCCCAGGCCATTGTTCAGCAGGTCAAACCAGGGCAGGCCATCTATCTGGCCACCTGATGGGCCATCTGCACTTCTCCGCACACGCAGGGTCTCTAGGTGCTCAAGTTGGCCACCAAACAAGTAATGGTAAATCTGGAGTAGTTAAATCATGGGAAAATTAAAATGGTAGATCTGGAGGGGTTAAATCATGGGAAAATTAAAATGGTAGATCTGGAGGGGTTAAATCATGGAAAAATTAAAATGGTAGATCTGCACGAGTTGATTTTTGGGGAAATTAAAATGGTAGATCTGGAGTAGTTAAATCATGGGAAAATTAAAATGGTAGATCTGCATGAGTTGAATTATGGGAAAATTAAAATGGTAGATCTGCAGGAGTTAAATTATGGGGAAATTACATTAAAAAAAATATTATCCATCAAATAATTTAAATAAAAAAATTGTAAATGGAACCAACAAGTAATGGTAGATCTGCAGGAGTTAAATAATGGGAAAATTACATTGAAAAAAATATTATTCATCATTAAATTTAATTTTAAAAAATTCTAAATGGAACAAACTCTTTTAGACAAGAAAACATGGGCTTGCTTGGATTAAAGTTATCAAGACATCAAAGGCAAGCATTCAGGCATACAGATGGCCTAGGTTTAACACAGTAATTCCAATGCTAACATACCAGCATTTAAAAAAAAAAGATATGGAAAAACAACATGGAAAATCAATAACAGCTGAAACTAGGGGTTAGAAAATGTCAACAAGACATTATAAGCTAGTTAAGGGATATAACTCTCATCTAGAACACCATCTCCACCGCAGGGCTTTCATCAAACTTTGAAAAAAAAGAGTTCTCACCTCTTTGACATGTATAGTAGCATTGATCAGACCCTTGGCCTCATCTTCTGGTATGGACAAGTTATTCATCAGGAAATTCTCAAACCTTCCAGGATCTCGCAGGATAGAGCCAAACAGAATATCTGTGGCAGAAATCATTTCTATTTAAAACATAGTATATGGGAATAAAAATATTCATTCATTATTACTGGTATGTGGGATGATGTGGTTGTATGGTCAAGCACATAACTGCAGACCATCAAGTTTGTATCTACCCAGCTATAATGGGTACTCAAAAGCCAGGCATAGAGCTGAGCACATAATCACCCCATGGACTGTCAGTCAGAGGCATAGCGATGGGGGGGGGGGGGGGGGCAGGGGGGTACATATGTCCCCGGGTGCCGACCTTAGGCGCCAAAATGGGTTGTAAAAACAAATTAAAATGTCATTTTAGCTGCATTTTTGAATTATAAATAGTTTGAGGTGAGGGTGCAAATTGAAAGTTGTGGAGGGGGGTGCAAATCAAAAGTTTGGGGGGGGGGGGGTGCAAATAGAAAATTTGCTCCCGAGGGGGGCGCCAAATTGAAAGTTTGTCCCCAGGGTCGCTACGCCTCTGCTGTCAGTTCTAATTTTACTTTGAGTGGGTATTAAAAGTGAATTATTCCAAATTCAAAATGTACATGTACACAGTATATGACTGATGAAAACAGCACATGACTGATGAAGACAGCACAACACTGCACTGATGATCACATGCTGACCCACCTGAAGCATTCTTGAAAGAATCGATCATGAAAGCCGAGTCATCAATGACGGCCTGGTAGGTCTCTGGTAGCTCATCCATTTCCTCAGGAGACATGCCAGGCCTGAAGAAGTCGTGGTCTTCTGCTACAATCTGCAGCTGCTCCAGGAGGCGACCAAGTTGGCTGGAGAGAAGGTGCAGCAGAGTTACACAGTTTTAAATGTAAGCCCATTTGGACAGAGACATAATTCAATACAGTTGTTGGCTATAACATTAGTCCTATTTGCTGACTACAAATTGTTACTGATTTAAGTTTTGGCCTAACTTGTCAGTCTGCAGAAACAGCTACTGAAATCAACTGGTTCATACAAAAACACAATTTACTTTTAGCACCTGTCTTATCTAATGGAACAAATCTTCATGCTCAAGTCAATGTTAAAATTAAAAATAAGTTCATTTCAGTTGTAGATAATTATTATTTTAATGTTTATTATTGTATCTATAATAATAAACATTAAAATAATAATTATGACAATATTTTTAATTGACTCAATTAATTAGAGCATTATGTGGAGCATTATGTGGAGCATTATGTGGAGCATTATGTGGAGCATTATGTGGAGCATTATGTGGAGCATTATGTGGAGCATTATGTGGAGCATTATGTGGAGCATTATGTGGAGCATTATGTGGAGCATTATGTGGAGCATTATGTGGAGCATTATGTGGAGCATTATGTGGAGCATTATGTGGAGCATTATGTGGAGCATTATGTGGAGCATTATGTGGAGCATTATGTGGAGCATTATGTGGAGCATTATGTGGAGCATTATGTGGAGCATTATGTGGAGCATTATGTGGCGCTTACTTTTCAGTGGAAAAATTGAGAAAGCCATGTTGGTCAATCTCTCCCTCCCCCTCACAAAACATCTGGATGAGGGACAACATGCCAGTAGAGGGTAGGGCTCGGGCGTGGTTCAAAGCTAAAGCAAACAGAACACAGAAAAAAAAACGTTATTTGGTTTCAATTTAAAAATTCATTTAAAATGTATTGATTTTAATTAACACATTATTTCTCATTGATTGGTTTTAATTTTAAAAATTCTGAAACATTGATTGATTTCAGTTAACACTTTAATTATTGAAACATCTAATAAAAACCTTAAAAAATGTGTTTTCTTCTTGTTAAATACATTATTTGTATTGTTTTAATTTCATTTATTGAGCTTATAAGAGTTGGAACCTTGTTTAAGCTTCCATTGTTTATAACTTTAAAAATATTTTATTTCTAAAAAATGTTAATTTTTATTTGTAACTGCTGAATAAAGTGTATGTGTGGATGATCTAGACAGATTTTACTTGTCAAAGGATTTAAAGCCAACGTATCAAATACTGACCAATGGGCATTTTGGCTTTTACTTGTCAAAGGATTTAAAAGCCAACGTATCAAATACTGACCAATGGGCATTTTGGAGGCTGGGAGTTTTTTCCTGATTAAAAGCAGGATCACAAACAGCACCAGAGGGATGAACAGCTCAAAGACCACGACAAGCTGGGGAGAAAACATGGCACCATGTAGCCACACACCACACGATGGTCAACCACACACCACACGCTGTGGTCAAACCACACACCACATGATGGTCAAACCACACACTGATCAAACTACACACCACACGATGATCAAACCACAAGATGGTCAAACCACACACCACATGATGGTCAAACAACACACCACATGATGGTCAAACCACACACTACATGATGGTCAAACCACAAACCACATGCTGTGGTCAAACCACACACTACTCAAACCACACATCACACACTGGTCAAACAACACACCACACGCTGGTCAAACCACAAACCACATGATGGTCAAACCACAAACCACATGCTGTGGTCAAACCACACACTACTCAAACCACACATCACACACTGGTCAAACAACACACCACACGCTGGTCAAACCACACACCACATGATGGTCAAACCACAAACCACATGCTGTGGTCAAACCCCACACTACTCAAACCACACATCACACACTGGTCAAACAACTTACCACACACTGGTCAAACCACAAGCGACACACAGGTCAAACCACACAACACATGCTGGTCAACTACACACCACACACTGGTCAAACCACACACCACATGCTGCTCAACCATACACCAACATTTTAAGGTACTGGTCTACCACAAACCACACACTGTAAAGTAAGCCTACTAGTCAACCAAACAACCACACACATTAAGGGATTGTGCATATTTAACAAACAAAAATAGTGCAAGCCCTACAACACCATTGAAGATTATAAAAATAGATAGCATATTCTTAGACAGTGTCTCATTTTTAGTGAAAACCATTTCAGAGGTTATCTATAAACTAAATCATGCTTTTTAAAACTGTGTAATAGTTAGAACACACCTCCGCAACCACCCAGGTGTCAGGGGCATTATGGGTTGTTCTGTGGGGCCACCAGTTACACTACTGCAGGGGCACTGGGTACAACCCCTAGTTTAATCATTGAATGGTGTGTGCCACTTTATCCCTATTGTATGGCACTCTTTAAAACAAACGTAGGTGCCATTGTGCTCACAGGACGGGGGGGGGGTGCAGGGTCCCAAACCTCACCCAATCATAGGGTGCCTTCCCTACCCCATATATACCTGTACAAATTAATAAAATTAAACTTTTAAATGCTAGTAGAGAAGAAAACTGTATACAAAATTCAAATATACATTTCAGTTTACCACAACCCATTAAACAAATATACTTGAGGTTTTTATTTTAACAGCAACTCTTTTAAAAAAAAAAGAAAAACCACAGATAAAACTGTTGACTCCAATTAGAGATCTGAGGTCTGCATTAGCTGAATGACTTCCATGTGATACAAACATGTGCTGTAAAGTGCATTAACTAAGCTAGGTTGACCAATTAACCTTTGACCTAGTGATACATATAATTAGTGTAAAATTCTTAGAATAGAAAAAGGCTTGCTGTTATGTGTGTACAATTGCTTGGGATGTTTATTTTACAGAATTATTTCATCATAGTCAAACTTTATAAGTGAAGAAACCTCATGTTGAATAGGTGGTAAGTGACCCACTTTATGTTGAAGGTGGTAAGTGACCCACTCTATGTTGAAGGTGGTAGGTGACATTTTGTTGAAGGTGGTGACCCTATGTTGAAGGTGGTGACCCTATGTTGAATAGGTAGTAGGTGACCCACTCTATGTTGAAGGTGGTAGGTGACTCTATGTTGAAGGTGGTAGGTGACCTTATGTTGAAGGTGGTGACCCTATGTTGAAGGTGGTAAGTGACCCTATGTTGAAGGTGGTAAGTGACCATATGTTGAAGGTGGTAAGTGACCCTATGTTGAAGGTAGTAAGTGACCCTATTTTGAAAGTAGTAAGTGACCTTTTGTTCAAGGTAGTAAGTGACCCTATGTTGAAGGTGGTAAGTGACCTTATGTTGAAGGTGGTGACCCTTTGTTGAAGGTGGTGACCCTATGTTGAAGGTGGTAAGTGACCTTATGTTGAAGGTGGTGACCCTTTGTTGAAGGTGGTGACCCTATGTTGAAGGTGGTAAGTGGCCCTATGGTTATGGTGTTAAGTGACCCTATGTTGAAGGTGGTAAGTGACCCTATGGTTATGGTGTTAAGTGACCCTATGTTGAAGGTGGTAAGTGACCCTATGTTGAAGGTGGTAAGTGACGCTATGTTGAAGGTGGTAAGTGACCCTATGTTGAAGGTATTAAGTGACCCTATATTGAAGATGGTATGTTTAAGTGAAGTGTCACACATGCTACTGACATTTCTCACATCACACAAGCTCATTAAATCTGACCAGCAATTAAACACTTAAATTAGCTTAATGGCCAGCAGGTATGTGTGTGTGTGTTGGTGTGTGGGTTGATGTGTGTGTTTATGTATGTGTGTGTGTATGTGTATGTGTGTGTTTGTGTGAGTTTGACCATCAAAATGTGAAACCTGCCTAAAGACACTGAGATGTAAACCCCTCAAGTTTACCTGTACACCTGTCAACAATCAAACATTTCCACACCTATAAAACCAGGTGTGGCAAGTCAACTTTTTGTGTGTTTTCTTTAGACAATCTTACATCATTTATACTGTGAGCAACAAGAGATGCCATTGTTATATTAGGTATTATACTGTAAAGTAAGTTAAGTTCCCTTTTTGGACCTGACAGTCCATAGGGGCAAGTGAAGTAGAGTTCACCTGTTTCTGTGACCTCGGCATATGAAGAGATAGTGTGGTCAGTTAACTTTACTTTCCCTAACGTGAATTAAAATTAAGTACCCATTAGAGTTTAGTGGACTCAGGGAAGTTCCACATATTTGAACCCATATTCAAACCAGAGACTTTTGGGTTAGCAGTCTAGCACTCTACCACTAGACCATGCAGTCCCACATTGTTACAGTAAACAATGCTAACAACACTTCTCCACACCAGGTAACAGGTTGTAACAAACAACTGACTCATCCCCTCCCCTTCAACCAATGCCTGGAGTTCATTTATTATCTAATCAATAACAAGGAATTTGCTTGTTTTTGTGTGACAATTTTTTTGTAAAGAAAAATATGGTTAATTAATTAATATATGTTTATGTTTAGATTGTTGCTTTTACTGAAATATTATTGCAGTATTGAATGTATGTTATGTTAGAGGTAATGTATGGTGTTATGGTGTGTGTGAGTGCTAATGCATGGTATTATGGTGTGTGTGAGTGGTGGAGCATGGTGTGTGTGAGTGGTGGAGCATTGTGTGTGTGTGAGTGCTAATGCATGGTGTTATGGTGTGTGTGAGTGGTGGAGCATTGTGTGTGTGTGTGAGTGGTGGAGCATGGTGTGTGTGTGAGTGGTGGAGCATGGTGTGTGTGAGTGGTGGAGCATGGTGTGTGTGAGTGGTGGAGCATGGTGTGTGTGTGTGTGGTGGAGCATGGTGTGTGTGAGTGGTGGAGCATGGTGTGTGTGAGTGGTGGAGCATGGTGTGTGTGTAAGTGGTGGAGCATGGTGTGTGTGAGTGGTGGAGCATGGTGTGTGTGAGTGGTGGAGCATTGTGTGTGTGTGTGTGAGTGGTGGAGCATGGTGTGTGTGTGAGTGGTGGAGCATGGTGTGTGTGAGTGGTGGAGCATGGTGTGTGTGAGTGGTGGAGCATGGTGTGTGTGAGTGGTGGAGCATGGTGTGTGTGTGAGTGGTGGAGCATGGTGTGTGTGGTATTGCATGGTTTTATAGTGTGTGTGTGAGTGGTGGAGCATGGTGTTTGTGTGAGTGATGAAGCATGGTGTGTGTATGTGAGTGGTGGAGCATGGTGTGTGTGAGTGGTGGAGCATGGTGTGTGTGAGTGGTGGAGCATGGTGTGTGTATGTGAGTGGTGGAGCATGGTGTGTGTATGTGAGTGGTGGAGCATGGTGTGTGTGAGTGGTGGAGCATGGTGTGTGTGTGTGTGGAGCATAGTGTGTGTGAGTGGTGGAGCATGGTGTGTGTGTGAGTGCTAATGCATGGTGTTATGGTGTGTGTGAGTGGTGGAGCATTGTGTGTGTGTGTGTGAGTGGTGGAGCATGGTGTGTGTGTGAGTGGTGGAGCATGGTGTGTGTGAGTGGTGGAGCATGGTGTGTGTGAGTGGTGGAGCATGGTGTGTGTGAGTGGTGGAGCATGGTGTGTGTGAGTGGTGGAGCATGGTGTGTGTAAGTGGTGGAGCATGGTGTGTGTGAGTGGTGGAGCATGGTGTGTGTGTGAGTGGTGGAGCATGGTGTGTGTGGTATTGCATGGTGTTATAGTGTGTGTGGGGGGAGTGGTGGAGCATGGTGTGTGTGTGTGGTGGAGCATGGTGTGTGTGTGGTATTGCATGGTTTTATAGTGTGTGTGTGAGTGGTGGAGCATGGTGTTATGGTGTGTGTGAATGCTAATGCATGGTGTCATGGTGTGTGTGAGTGCTAATGCATGGTGTTATGGTGTGTGTGAGTGGTGGAGTATGGTGTGTGTGTGGTGGAGCATGGTGTTTGTGTGAGGGATGGAGCATGGTGTTATGGTGTGTGTGAGTGCTAATGCATGGTGTTATGGTGTGTGTGAGTGGTGGAGCATGGTGTTTGTGTGAGTGATGAAGCATGGTGTGTGTATGTGAGTGGTGGAGCATGGTGTGTGTGAGTGGTGGAGCATGGCGTGTGTGAGTGGTGGAGCATGGTGTGTGTGAGTGATGAAGCATGGTGTGTGTATGTGAGTGGTGGAGCATGGTGTGTGTATGTGAGTGGTGGAGCATGGTGTCTGTGTGAGTGGTGGAGCATGGTGTGTGTGTGTGGTGGAGCATGGTGTGTGTGAGTGGTGGATCATGGTGTGTGTGAGTGGTGGATCATGGTGTGTGTGAGCAGTGGATCAATATCATGGTGTGAGTGGTGGAGCATGGTGTTATGGTGTGTGGGGTATTGCATGATGTTATAGTTAGTGTGTGTGCGTGTGTGTGTGTGTGTGTGTGTGCGTAGTGAAGCATGACGTGATGGTGTGTGTGAGTGGTGGAGCATGGTGTTAGGGTGTGTGTGGTGGAGCATGGTGTTAGGGTGTGTGTGTTTGTGTGGTAATGCATGGTGTTGTGGTGTGTGTGAGTTGTTGAGCATGGTGTGTGTGAGTGGTGGATCATGGTGTTATGGTGTGTGTGAGTAGTGGATCATGGTGTTATGGTGTGTGTGAGTAGTGCACCACACTCCTAAAATATGATTATATGTATGATAGAATAGGTAAATAAACCACTGCAATTTTCTGAAAGAAATGGGTTTAAGTTATAGTTTGACCTTAAAACAGCAGATACACAGAAGAGTGGGTGGGGTGGTGGTCAGCATCAAGTCAAGAAAATAATGAAGAAAACATAAGATTTTACACTTGTTTAGATGTGCCACCAATATGCAATAGGCCACATACTGACAAAATTATGTGTAGATTGTGCCACCAATATGCAATAGGCCACATAGACCATTTTGCCATAACTACATGTATTAAACTCAGCTGAACCTTTTTTTTTTTGTTAAATATAACTTGCTTGTGGTAAAACCCCTTTATCAAACTGTTACACCAGAAATCTAGGAGTGGCTGATATCACACAAGTTTTGTTATAGATTATTTCACTGTTATCTCACCATTATTTCTAGCCAACAAACTGTACTTCACATTGTGGTATTTTAATATTTCTCATCTAGCTGTGGTTTTACTGACATCACTACATTAAAATATGCTAGGGGTCAAGGTCTTTGTTTCACAGAATTGTTGACCCTGTTATTGATTCACAATGAGAATCCTCACTAACACCACCATGTTATTGATTCACAATGAGAATCCTCACTAACACCACCATGTTATTGATTCACAATGAGAATCCTCACTAACACCACCATGTTATTAATTCACAATAAGAATCCTCACTAACCCCACCATGTAGTTCATTACATAAATTAGAATAAATTATTTAGCCTGCAGCCTTGTACACTGGTTATACAAAGTTATGATAATCCACAATTATCCATGTCTCAGATTAAGTGACGAATTTAATTGTCACTGAAAATTAATTGTCACTGAAAACCCTTGAGGTAATTAAAGTACAAATTAATTCATTTTAATTAAACTTGTTTTGGTTTACAAACTCACACTGCATAAAGGAGGGGGGGGTAAATTCAGACTTAATTAAAGCAAACTAGGAATTGTAATTTGTTTATATTAAATTGTGTATCAAAGCAAGGTTACATTCAGCTGTTATGTTAGGTGCACTTTGTTAGCAAGTTGTTCTATATCCCATTAGCTATTTGTTCTATATCCCATTAGCAATTTGTTCAATATCCCATTAGCAATTTGTTCTATATCCCATTAGCAAGTTGTTCTATATCCCATTAGCAAGTTGTTCTATATCCCATTAGCAAGTTGTTTTATATCCCATTAGCAAGTTGTTTTATATCCCATTAGCAATTTGTTCTATATCCCATTAGCAATTTGTTCTATATCCCACTAGCAAGTTGTTCTATATCCCATTAGCAATTTGTTCTATATCCCATTAGCAATTTGTTCTATATCCCATTAGCAATTTGTTCTATATCCCATTAGCAAGTTGTTCTATATCCCATTAGCAAGTTGTTTTATATCCCATTAGCAATTTGTTCTATATCCCATTAGCAAGTTGTTTTATATCCCCTTAGCAATTTGTTCTATATCCCATTAGCAAGTTGTTCTATATCCCATTAGCAAGTTGTTCTATATCCCATTAGCAAGTTGTCCTATATCCCATTAGCAAGTTGTTCTATTTCCCATTAGCAAGTTGTTCTATATCCCATTAGCAAGTTGTTCTATATCCCATCAGTAGCGTAGCGAGAGGGGGGGCGGGGGGGGGGGGACATATGTCCCCGGGCGCCGACCTTAGGGGGGGCGCCAAACTGAAAGTTTGAGGGGGGGGTGCAAATGAAAAGTTCGAGGGGGGGGGGGGGTGCAAATCGAAAATTTGCTCCCAAGGGGGCGCCGAATTGAAAGTATGTCCCCGGGCGCCGGGAAGGGTCGCTACGCCTCTGTATCCCATTAGCAAGTTGTTCTATATCCCATTAGTAAGTTGTTCTATATCCCATTAGCAATTTGTTCTATATCCCATTAGCAAGTTGTTCTAGTTCTATATCCCATTAGCAAGTTGTTCTATATCCCATTAGCAAGTTGATCTATATCCCATTAGCAAGTTGTTCTATATCCCATTAGCAATTTGTTCTATATCCCATTAGCAATTTGTTCTATATCCCACTAGCAAGTTGTTCTATATCCCATTAGCAATTTGTTCTATATCCCATTAGCAATTTGTTCTATATCCCATTAGCAATTTGTTTTATATCCCATTAGAAAGTTGTTCTATATCCCATTAGCAAGTTGTTCTAGTTCTATATCCCATTAGCAAGTTGTTTTAGTTCTATATCCCATTAGCAATTTGTTCTATATCCCATTAACAATTTGTTCTATATCCATTAGCAAGTTGTCCTATATCCCATTAGCAATTTGTTCTATATCCCATTAGCAAGTTATTCTATATCCCATTAGCAAGTTGTTCTATATCCCATTAGCAAGTTGTTCTATATCCATTAGCAAGTTGTCCTATATCCCATTAGCAAGTTGTCCTATATCCCATTAGCAATTTGTTCTATATCCCATTAGCAAGTTGTTCTATATCCCATTAGCAAGTTGTTCTATATCCCTTGTTATAACAGATATTGGATCAATGTAAGGTGTAATTCTTTAGTTCTTGTTCCATTTTTTTATTGTGAGCTGTGTGCTCTACCTGCATTGTAAAATTATGGTGTGCTCAATGTCTACCATGTACTACTGCATGCTGTCTCAGTGTTTGACTATACACCCTTAGTGTGAAAGAAACTTCCCAGAATAATAATTACTCCTATATGGCAGCAAGCCAGTACTCTGTGTGGGGTGGGGGGTGGGTGTGGAGGGGGGGGGGGAAGGCTCTTGTTTAAAATTCAGTAAGTCACTCAAGAGTGCAGAAATAATAATGGGACAGCAGACATTGCACTTGTGCAATCTGAAGGTGTGTTTACATGGTAGGCTTAAACTATAATACCAAACCACAGTCTGAATCAACATCAACAAAAGTATACCCCAACCTGAATCAACATTAACAACAGTACATCACACCTGAATCAACATTAACAATGGTGCATCCCAACCTGAATCAACATTTAACAACAGTATATCTCAACCTGAAAACCTGAATCCAAATTAACAATAGTACCACATAATTATCTGAATCAACATAAAAAAACCATCACTTCGTTAATCAACACAACATTAACACATCACTAGGCCTATCAACACAAAATTAACACATCACTAGGCCTATCAACACAACATTAACACATCACTAGGCCTATCAACACAAAATTAACACATCACTAGGCCTATCAACACAACATTAACACATCACTAGGCCTATCAACACAACATTAACACATCACTAGGCCTATCAACACAACATTAACACATCACTAGGCCTATCAACATAACATTAACACATCACTAGGCCTATCAACACAACATTAACACATCACTAGGCCTATCAACACAACATTAACACATCACTAGGCCTATCAACACAACATTAACACATCACTAGGCCTATCAACACAACATTAACACATCACTAGGCCTATCAACACAACATTAACACATCACTAGGCCTATCAACACAACATTAACACATCACTAGGCCTATCAACACAACATTAACACATCACTAGGCCTATCAACACAACATTAACACATCACTAGGCCTCTCCACAAAAACAGACATTGTAAGACAAAGGGGTATCAAATGAATGTGTTGTATTATAAAATCTGTAAGAGGTAATTTATGTGACAAATAATATATTACATTATGAAATCTGTAAGAAGTAATTTATAATTCCAACTTGCAAACTTAGGATGTTTTTCAGCAGCCCAAATTTTCTCTAGAAGCCAACAACAGCATAAACATAAGTTAAGTAGTTGTTGTGACTGTATACGTCATTTACATCCATATAAGTTGCAGCATACACTGTAACTTTGTTATATAAACCCATACATCATTTACAAGTAGCATACATCATTTACATCCACATAAGTTATAGTGTACTATGTAACTTTGTTGTATAACATAAACCCATACATCATTTACAAGCAGCATGCATCATTTACTTACAAATAAGTTACATGGTAACGTGTAGCTTAGTTGTATAAACCCAATTTTAAAAAAATAAAAATAAAAAAACTTACCGGACTTCTCTTTTTCAGGGTGAAATTTTTCCACAAGAGCAGCCTCAGCTGATGAAAAAATCCCATCTTGTTTTCGTACGGCCTTTCAGAACTGTAAAAACCTGATACTCCTGGCTGCTGGACACTCTCCTGTTAGCTCAGGTGTTACATTTTAAGTCTTAAATTTGGAATCACAGCGATCTTCTGTTCAAGAACAGACTTCATATCCAAAAATGTAGGCCTATCAACTATTGTAAGGAACACAATTTTAACAGTTTTTATACCCTCTTGAAATTAATAATATTAATAAATTAGAATATTATCTAGATTAGGCTGTTTAACTTATTAGATCTAACATTTTATACTGTACAAATATTTTAATGAAGGTCATTAGATCTAGATTTCTAGACTCTAGACTCTAGACCTAGACTAAAAAAAAGAAAAGGTTATGACTTTAGGACTTTAGGCCTATATAAATTATTTAGGCCTAAATTAGGCCTATATCATTAAAAAAGGGCCTTTCACTTTCTGCTTTAAAAAAAAGTAACTTTTAGTTCTAGATCTAGAGGAAATCTAGATCTAGATCTAGATCTAGATCTAGATCTACATTAATTTTTATTTCACTTTAAAATTGTGGGTAGCAATAAAATGAATAAATAACTCAGTGAGTCAATGTCAATAAGCCTAATTATTTTTAGTTAGGCCCAACAACTAGAATCTAGATCTTAGAATCTAGATTTTAGTTTTATTTTTAAGTCTAAAGAATAAAAGATCTAAAATTATTTAAAATAGTTAGGCCTACATTACTACATTAGTTAATCTAGGCCCTATAATCTACACTTACAGTCTAAACTACACTCTTCTCTTACTCTTAAGTAGATCTACTAGAATCTAGGACCTAGATCTAGATCTAAGACCTAAAGTACTTAAGTCTTAACTAGCAGAAATTATCACAGATCAGTAAATCCACTGTTGGTGACTTTGATACAGAACTAAATCAATAGGATCTAGATCTAGACTTTCTAGAGTCTAGATCTAGATTCTAGATTAGTAACAGCTAACAGGCTAATAATGCGTGTAATATTAACGGTAATATTACAACACTCAACACAATCAAGTAAACATCTGTTTTTCTACCACCATTGAATGATTGATTGATGAAAGTTAGATTATTTTTATTTGACCAATGACTAGATCTAGATCTAGATCTACACAGAAGATCCAACGCCCAGCTGTTGCGCTCCAGACTTCTCTACTCTAGCTAGATTCTAGAATGATAGAATCTAGATCTAGATCTAGATCACTAGCTTACATTACATTTAACACTAAAACCTCCACACTACGTCTACAACAGTAGCAGTTCGGTAGCCTAGTCACCTACTAATGTAGGCTAGTGTGTAGGCCTGTTTAGGTATAAATAAGATAAGAAAACTAGAATCTAAATTCTAGATTCTAGTTCAAGATACACAGCAGTAGCGCACCCTGATCTCAGATGTCAACCTACCGTGCCGTTTATTATTGGCAGGCCTAACCTTTTTCACTATTTTATGAAATACTTTAATATTTTCAAGCAACCACCTGGTGAACCATTGACCTAGTTTTCTTTTTATTTCTAATTCTAAAGCTTTTGCAAAACTAGAATCCAATCGCTTGGGTTTAAAATTGAATTAATTGTTTAATAATTTTTAGGCCTCCGTAATTTTTTTTAAGTAAGAAAGAAAACGAAATCTAGATCTAGCAAGATTTATTAATCAATATAAATATAATAAATTATTCAGCATTAATAATGTTCCACTGAAAATAGCAGGGCATTATTTTAGTCGTGTGTTGCCTACCTGAACGGTTAGCTATAAACTACACAAATGCCTGCACCTTGCAACACACTTTCGAATTCGACACGTCTATCCTATTCTATGAATGTTATTGTTTCCATTCGCCTTTCTTCAACGATGTTATTTTTGTACTAAGTGATGTCATATCTTTCAGTGTTCCGCATCATGTGACCTCCCACTGCATGCTACCATTGGTCGCATAGTTCAGTGTAAAAATAGAGCATTGATCACATGGTATATTTATTTATCCTCTCAGCTGATTGCGAGCGCAGTGCCAAACGAATGTCAAAATGCGGGACAAAAGTATATCAACAAATCAGCAATATATTCATATCGATAGTTAATAAAAATATTTTGCATGGGCTCCTTTTAAAGTAGTTCTTTATTAGATATAATTGTAAATAATGCCTGTAACAGTAGGGATCCCACACCACATTAGACACCCCACTGGGGCAATACAGCCCATATTATAATTATTTTTTATAGGCCTAATACTAATATTAATATTTGGGCCAACATTATATGCCAATACTGAAGGCTAAATTACTAAATACATGTAATATTTTGAAGTCCAAAAGAAATTACTATTATAGTTCCGAAAAGCAGCCTATAGCTAGCTGTGTTTGTCAGTCTGACTAGAAATAAATTAATTTCATAGTTTAACACAGTATAACAGGTTTATTTCAGTAACAAAAACTTCATTTTTTAACAACACTTTAATACATTGGAATACAATTATATAAAAGTAGGCTACCTAATCTTGACTTGCATTTGTCAAAATTTTAAACCTAAAATAATAATAAGCGATATTTTTATTGACAAAATTTGCATAAGAGGCAGACGTGTGACGTCATTTGAGTGAGGTCGGACTTTTTGCGACTATATGTGACTATGTGGCCTTACGGACACATTTTCCACGTCACCAGTGGCGTAGCCAGGATCGTCTCAAGGGGGGAGGGTCCAATTTTTACCCGGGGACAAACTTTCGATTTGCACCCCCACCCCCCTCAAACTTTCGATTTGCACCCCCCCTCAAACTTTCGGTTTGCACCCCCCCCCCCTCAAACTTTCGATTTGCACCCCCCCTTATACTTTTTATATATACCGAGGGGTCTATGGGGGGGGGGGGGTTTATGACCCCCTAACCCCCCCCTGCCTACGCCACTGCACGTAACCATTTCTCACATTATTCCCAAAGTACTTTTATTTTAAAAGTGGGTACGGCCTTCGATTTTGTCTAATCAAAATGAGACAAACAAGTAGATCTAGGCGGCCCAATCGGAACAGAGAACAGGTGAACCACACTGAATGTAAACAAAACATCCGAACTGTGTGCCACGTTGTCACGTACCTACGCCTTTAAGCCTTCCAATCTAAGGACACCCATTTCAAAGTAGTAACAGAAGCTATAATGCCCCGCTGTTATTTTTTAGCTTACTTGTAGTACATTAAAGTTTAAAGCTTCATTATATTCTTTGTTCACATCTTTTCCAACATTCGGTAATGTAATTATATATACGTGTATATGTATATGTATATATATATAAATATATATATATATATATATATATATATATATATATATATATATATATATATATATATATATATATATATATATATATATATATATATATATATATATGCGTGTGTGTATGTATTTACAAAACATGTATATATTTGTATGTATATATTTTTAAGCCTATAAGTGAAAGTTATATACATATATACATATGTGTGTATATGAATATACACACACACACACACACACACATATATATATATATATATATATATATATATATAGGCCAATAGATATACCTGTATACATGCAGGCATATCTACACACAGACACACACACACCTACACAGCTACTCCGTAATTAGATCTCATGATGAAAAACCTGATAAAACAGATTAGGTTAAATAAAACGATTTGTCACAATTGAACAAAGACGACAACATGACAGACTGTGTGGGCTGGCTGTTTTCCCAGTTAACCCTACATGTAGGCCTACATGTTATCACACATACACACATACACTCACATACACATAGATACACTCACATACACACAATCTCTTGTTTTCCTAGTTTACCCCGTATGCCTACATGTTATCATACACACATACACATACACATACACTCACATACACACATACATTTTAGATGTAACCCCGTATGCCTACATGTTATCATACATACATTACATACATACACATACACACACATACATTTTAGATGTAACCCTGTAGGCCTACATTTTAACACACATACACACACACACACACATACAAAGCCATATATGTTAGATGTAATGCTTTAATCTCTTGGTGTAAACACATTGTGCGTTTGTGTGTGTGTGGGGGGGGGGGGGGGGGGGCTTTTTTTAGACATGCAACACTTGTAGTTATAAGATTCTCATACTTATGAATATGTACGTGTTGTATTTTGCGCCTATATGTTTGTGTATTACGGCATGCGTGTATGCAGTGGCGTAGCCAGGATCGTCTCAAGGGGGGGGGGGTCCAATTTTTTCCCGGGGACAAACTTTCGATTTGCACCCCCTCAAACTTTCGATTTGCACACCCCCCCTAACCCCCCTGCCTACGCCACTGCGTGTATGTATGTATCTATGCGAGTAAATATTTGTGCGCGTGTTTAATATTTAATGACAATTATTTTTTAATTAAATACACGATTTATTTATTATTTGTACGATGTATATATTGTATAATATTGTATATAGCGTGTAAATGATGCACGCATGTTTTTAATATGATAACACGTGTGGTATGTCACCTTGTATAGCACATATCAAAGGTGACGTGAACGTACCCATGACATTCAAATCTCTCATATCAATATGTGTGTATGACGACGCTATGTGATTTTGATTACCTATCCTATACTCCTGATAACAGTGCTATCGATACTAGCCGATCGATCGAGGCAGACGACCATGACGTTTCACACTATATCATCACGTGACTTTGAAGGTCACGGGTGAATTCTCAGAAGCCGATCATTACCGGATACCAGTGTTTCACTAGACAGGTCGTAGCTTGACGCGCATCAGTGATTTTAGTTCTTCGGGTGGGGATTGGTGTAGGTGTCAGGTGAAGCGTGTCTACGTCTGCTGGTATGTTGTCAGGTGTGGAGGAGGGAGGGGGTGGAATGGAGGATAAAGCATTACAGGTTCACTGATGGGTGACGGGGGCTTACACGCACCGGACGATGAAAGAATGTGTTGCAATATAACACAGAGGATGACTATGGTCGGAAGTGTTGATCCTGTTGTCTAGTGGGTTGTCTTGTGGGTTACTTCAGGGGTTGTCTGATGGGTTACTTTATTGGTTTCCTTATAGGTTACTTCATGGGTTGTCACAAGGGTTGTGTGTGTATTGAAAGTGCTACAAAAAAGTACACACAGGAAAGACTATATATATATATATATATATATATATATATATATATATATATATATATATATATATATATATATATATATATATATATATACATATATATATATATATATATGTGTGTGTGTGTGTTTATGTGTCTATTTTTATAGAAGTCTGTTTGTTAGCATGCATTCTATCTTATATTTCGCACTTCCCGTGTGTGTTAATATATTGTTAAGCTACTCCACAGAAAAGGTCTTGTTTTCTTCTATCCTTTTTAACGCTGCATATTGCTTTACATTTGACCCCTGTTCATACAAATAAAACCATACTGTTTTAATATAGGCCTACATGTTTGTTTACAATGTGTGCATTGATTATTTGGGTAAGACTTCGTAACTATCAGACCGGCAAGTTATCGCCCTTGACTTTTGCACTTTTCCCCCGCAGCGCTGCACGGTGCGGCACCCGTTCAAAGCATTATCGATCTACGCCTGCTGTAGATGCTTTCTTTCTGTTCGCCTGATCAAATATTAACCAGCATGTGGTTCCATGACAAAATGTTTTTAAAAGAAATTATTTAAATGTCGCGGTGACTTGGCTGGGGTGGGGAGGGGGGCGGTATCGTCGTGAGAAAGTGTGGTAAGTTATGGTGTACAGGTTATAACACTAAAAAATATATACATACACTTGCATATATAGGATTATATGATAAATATATATTATATTATTTATATTTATATTTACACACTCTCTCTCTCTCTCTCTCTCTCTCTCTCTCTCTCTCTCTCTCTCTCTATATTCGCCATTGAAAACTAAAAATGTTTGTCCAACAATGAGCGTACTTTTGATTGATATTAATCAAAACATACTTATCACTAGTTCTGTGTTGTGACGAGCTGTCTTGGAAATCTTCAGTGTTTTAAGTGTAGATATAAATCTGGGTATTCTTCTCTAGTTTCATTATGAATATGGGACAATCGGGCGATTGTTTCAATTGTTGGGCCGGTGCTGTTTGATTGGTGGGTTCAGAGGCGTAGCGACCCCTCCCGGTGCCCGGGGACAAAACTTTCGATTTGCACCCCCTCGAACTTTTCATTTGCACCCCCCCCCCTCAAACTTTTGATTTGCACACCCCCCCTCGAACTTTTCATTTGCACCCCTCCTCAAACTTTCAATTTGGTGCCCCCCCCCCCTAAGGTCGGCGCCCGGGGACATATGTCCCCCCCCCCCGCCCCCCCCCCCTCGCTACGCCTCTGGGTGGGTTAAATATTGAGTAGCTAGTACCAGGGTATTATATGTGTGTAGCACCATTGGTTCAAGGGACAAAACCTGGCCCAATAGACAAAAATTGGTTTAATGGACAAAAATTGGTTTAATAGACAAAACTTGGGCCAATGGACAAAAATTGGCACAAAAATTGGCCTGATGGACAAAAGTGCAATATACAAAGCAACTTGCCGTATCACCTACAGTGTTTTAATGGGACTGAATTATATCAAAATTTCAACCCTAGTCAGGTAAAAAGTCGAAGTTTTAAGGTCACGTGATCAATGAAAAACACGTGGCCCACGGACTAATATTTAGCTGAACATAGGCCTATTATAAAATAGTCATTTGGTGTTAGCTTTTTACCGTTTTAACATATTTGCTCTACTGATTCAATCCTATGCGGAGGTTGAAAGTTTATTCAGAGAAAAAGTTAACTAGGCGAAGTGGTGTTC